ACATAATATTTGTTATCGTTACTGCTAGCGACGACAACCTAGATGTCATGCTCACCCATTCCATACCTCGAACCGTCCATATAAAACCAGACACACGAAGACATCCAAAGACACGTACACACACGAGAGCAAACCACGACACACAGACAGAGACAGAGAGAGAGAGAGAGAGAGAGACAAACAGACAGACAGAGAAAGAGAGAGAGAGAGAGAGAGGGAGAAAGAGAGAGAGAGAGAGAGAGAGAGAGAGAGAGAGAGAGAGAGAGAGAGAGAGAGAGAGAGAGAGAGAAATGCAGAGAGAAAAATGCAGAGAGACGCCTTGCACAAAATAAATGCTTCAAGCGGCGTAGAGAAGAGGACAATACAGGCATCCTGAGATTTATGGGGGCAGGCAGGAGAAGGGAGCATGGCCTTCGACCTCTTTCCACCCTATTGCGTTGTCACACGCACCTTGTGTCTACAGTACCGTTCAAAGAAGAGGATGAACCGGTCGAGCTTAAGTTTGGATTTCCCAGAAGAAAAGTACTTCCCTGAGGCCTCAAGGATCTGCAACACCATTTTTAGACGCGTCACGCCAAGCGGCGGATCCTCTGGGGAGTCTGGCGCTGCAAGCAAAGGGAGGGGTCGCTGCTCGTACACCGCAGCAGTGGCCCAGCCTCCGGCTGTCTCCTGCTGTGGTGGCTGCTGCAAGAAGCGCGCGCCTTCAAACAGCAGGCGGTGAGTGGTGCGAATATTGCCAGCCTGGAAGGCCGTGTGTCCCCCGAAGCCAATAAGCGCGTAAAGAGCGTCAAACAGAACGGAGGAATCCACCAGACTGAAGGCCATACATAACAACGGCAGGAGCCAGCGCCCAGAGGAGTGCAGGTACGGCGAGGCATACACACACACAGAGAGAGATATATATATAAGAGATAAGAGACTTCCTCTACATTAACACAATGCCTGTGAGAAAAAAAAGGATAGACCCCGAGACACAACACGACGAGCACGATCAAGGAGGCAAAGAGTGTTTGCTGCGCCTACCGGTAATTGTACAGCTCTCCCAGGAGCCGCGCCTGCATAAGTCTTCTTGGCGCTTCCTCAGCCTCCTCGTTCTCCATGCCATACTGAAAAGGCGCACAGTAACGGCTGGTGCACACAGAATGCTGGTGCACGATGCCTCACACACATAGACTGCGGCGGGAGCACCAGGGCAGAGCAAGGGTGTTGGTGGTGCGTGGTTGTGATGAGGTTTGCTGCCGCTGAGAAACGCGGAGTAAAATGCGCGAGCACGGAGGTACCTCGTGCGCGTCGCATACGGGCTTCCTACGGCCGGCCTAGGAGACGAGGAGAGCAACAAGTCAGCAGCAGCAGGAGGAGCGCACCTGTATGTCCTCGAGGAGGGAGTCAATGCAGGAAATAACCTCGGCAGGGATGTACTTGGCGAGGGCCGAAAGCAGCGCCGCATGGCGGTGCAGAAATTGGAATTTCGTGTTGAAGCCCAACTCTGAGGGTGAGAAAAGCAAGTCAAAAGCAAGAAGCACGATCGTCACGGCCCACTCATGAGCAGCTGGCAGCCGTGGATATCGTGTAGGCAAACGGCGTGCAGCCACGGCTACGAGTGATTCCCTCATTTCAAAGAGTGAGGCGTATCCGCGCCTTGTTTCAGTGGCGGCCATCCCTAGTGCGAACCCGTACCGAGTACACAGTCTCTGAACCACGGAAGAACGTGTGGATCTGACGTCCAGGGAAGCTTCCTGCAGATCTTTGCGACCGCATCCGCTTCCTCCTCACTGAGACAACCAACAGAGAGAGGAGCGGCCGCTACTGATAGCAACTGAGATGCAGTCGAACAGACTGGTGCAGCCGGACCGGGAAAGAACTGACAACGCGGTGCTCCGCGGGTGGGCTGAAGGGCCCAGATACACATACAGAGAAATCAGCTTTGCTCGAGGAGTAGTAGGACGGAGGCAGCTAGGAAGGTTAACAACAACGACAGCAGAAGCACAGGCGCCGAGAAGCGTGGCAGAGGACCGGAGAGGAATGGGGACTTTTGTGACGGACCTGCCATAGAGGTCTGCAAAGATGAGCTTTTCAAGAAAGAGTTGAAGGGGCTCCTTCGTCTGCTTCCGACTAGAAGCGTCTCCCTCCCCCCCGCACAGCTGGTAGTAAACATCTTGGATTAGGCACTCTTGCTCTGGGGGCAGGTGCCGCGCAGCCGAGAGCCGCAGCATGCGCATCACCAGACTCCTAAAGCGTTCCCCTGTTAGACGCGAATGTAGCAAGAAGCTCCCGCAGCCCTGCGGAGACAACATAGGTGGCCAGACGTGCACAATCTTGCCTTAAATGAAGGCTCTTGTTCCCAAAAAAAGACGGGAGATGCGGATACCAGGTCACTTCGGCGTTGCGCAGTGTGCGCAGCAACTGGCTCCTTCTCTAGTACGGCCAGCCGACAACGGCGAGGGGTATCTGACCGCAGCAAAATGGGCGAGCATCTCAATTCTGTGAGGCGTGAGGTCCTCCAGGAGGGCACTAAAGGCAGTCAGCACGAGGCCCGGAGGGAAAAGCCGGAATTTTGTGCACTCGCAAACGTAGCGAATGCTTTTTACTTTAGAATCAATCTGCAACGGGAAGCGCGCACAGACACATAGGGGCGTGGTACGCACACGCACACACGCCAAGCGGCAGCTAGCACCCTGCCGGCAGAGTCGCCACAGGGAAGTCATCTTCATGAGGCCAATGCCTCAGAGGCACACACCCAGTAGCATGCACCTCAGGAGAGAGAGAGCACCGCAAGAAAACACCACTTCGAAGAGGCCGAAGGATAGCGCCTCAGTCCAGAGTGACAGGCTACCGATGAGCGTGCATGATTACTATTCGGAGGCAACAGCAGGCCCGGATGTACATCCAACGATAAATGACGCGGCCGCCAGATAACGCGATTCAAAGCAGCGAAGGCAGGCTAGCAGAAAAAGTCCGACCGAAGAAAGCAAGGAGTGCAGCGAAAGCAAGCAAACACAGCTCCAATACGAAATGACTCTACAGAAAAAATGCGAATTCCATGAGAGCATCGCTTTACTTTTGATGGGTCATGCTCATCGAGGCAAAGCTTCAAATCCGCTTGCAATGCGTCAAGAACCAACGCGGTCTCTTCCTAAGGCACACAAACAGACACGTCGCACACACACACACACGCAAATCGACACTTCAAGCACTAAGGACGCCAAGTAAAGCAATAACACCAACCTTACCACGGAGGCGATGAGCCTCCGCCATTTCTGCCTTTGTGGTGTGTCCTGTCTTGTCTCGCGTGTAGTCACAAGTTCCGGCCCTCAGTATATTTTCACTCCCTCTGCGACATTTGATCTATCTTCTTACCTTGAGAGGCTTTCTCAAGATGGCGAGCAGCCGTGCGTGGCAGGGCAGCAGGTGCAACTGCGTCTTTGGGACGTGCAGCAGCGCTCGAGCCAGTGCAGTGCGATTCGGCCTATTGTTGAGTCGCTCAATAAAAAAGTCTACTGCAATCTGAGCAGAAAGATCGTGTTAACTCTTCATCTCTATATATGCACACTTATAGGTCCTGCAGCAGGCGGCGTAGCTGGATGGTGCTGCAAAGCGGGGGAACACGGGGCAACAACTACCTGATCAATCTGTTTCTGGGTCGTAGCCTGAGAAAGACGGCTCAGAATAGCCGCCATGGAAGCACCTCCTGCGTCAGTTCCAATTGGAGCTGCCGTCAGCGTCCCTGCCACTTGTGGTGCTGCAGTAGCGACATTAAGGGCGGCGCTGACATCGGATGCAACTGCTGCAACCGCTGGAGAGATAGAGCTCTTTGGCGCAGAGCTTTTAGTTTGGTGAGCCGCAGTTGCAGAGGCCTGCTGCTCTACAAGCTGCAGAACACACAAATCACACGCCATGAGGATATCGTGCACACAAGGGCGCAGCCAGAAAAAGAGACGGCGAAACGGCACTCCAGGGGCAAGCCGCAGCAATTTAAGCAGCATTTAGATGATGTGCAGACACGCCGACGACTATAAAAGCGGTGAGGCAGGACGAGAAAACAGACACTTTGCAAAAGGGAGAAAACACGGGGTTGGTAAAACGCTGTTGGAAGCTTCGCTGCAGCCCATGGAGCGCAAAGGCATGAGAAGAGGTGCACCGTCGCCGCTACCCACAGAGGAGCGCAGGAACAGGGCCAGAAGACACCCCAAAAGATGCACAGCGAATGCAAGCACTCTGAGCGTACAAACGCAATCAACAACAGGAATCTACAAGCAACTGACTGCCTTGGTCTTCTCTTCCTTGGTTTCACGACTGCCGAGAAGCCCCGGTGGGAGTACTTCAAAAAGATCCAAGATCTCCGTGTAAAATAACCTGTGCACAAGACATTGTTGCGACAGTGACGCAACCTGCCGCCACAAGGATCCCCAGCATCCCTTCGCCATCCTCCTACCGCCGTCGCCACTGTAGCGTGTCTTGCAGTTTTCCGTGCAGTTCCTGCCGCGTGGAAAACTGCAAGCGTTCAAGGCTGCTGTCTACCGGTAGTCGTGATGCATGCTGAGCGAGTGCCCTGGCCTTTGAGCAAGGGGTTTTCCTTGCTGGGAGAGCACATTTGCATACATCAGCGCCGCTGTAGCAGGCAGATCTGCGTCTACATCATCAGCCGCACGCACCCAAGAACCTGCTCACCTTTCCTCTTTGTCCTTCCAAGCTCGGTCTTCTGCCACCGCAGGTGCAGAGGAAGAAGAGGGGGCCCCGGGGCCCTCCGTGCCGAGTCTTGTGACCGTCAGGACTAAAGAGGCCCCCTGGATAGTGGCTGCTGCTTTTTGTTCTATTTCTGCAGCATCCGGCGGTGCTCGCTGCAGCAGCTCTGCCAAGGCCGTTGCGTGTTGTAAGGCCGCCCTGTGCTTCTCCGAGAGGGCGGCGAAACGTGAGAGGCCCTCAGAAGAGACACTTCCTCTGTCGATTGTTTGCTGCATGTTCTGCACCTCCTGCTGCAGCAGTTCGCGTTGGATGGCATGCAGTGTCGGCACTACAGCGCCGGAGTAAAAATTCTCCAGGGCGGCCAACATCTGAGACGCACAGCCGCACCGCTGCTGCGCTGCCGCTCCTAGGAAGCCTGCAACCTACGGAAAGGTCTCTTTGAAGGCGCTAACGGAGGAGCGCCTCGCGCGGCTGCACTCGTCGCAACAGCCTCAATATGCGCGCTGCTGCCGGCACGACAGCTGCAGCTAGGTAAGAAACAGGATGCCCTGCTGCTCACCTGGCTCCTCCATGCAAGGGGAGGGTCTCGAGCGGCTCTTAGCGCTGCCAGCGCCTCCTCAGCCTCCTCCAGACTCAAACTCTCGACCTTCATAGCCTCGCACAGCATCTCAGGCGTCGTGGAATCGAAACTGCCCGCTGTTTCTGCCGAAGAAGCTGCCGCAGCCGCTGCTCCTTCCCCGAACGGTCCGTTGGCTCCATTCTCAGCGGTAGCCCGAGTCGTAGCGGCGGCTTCCGTACCCGCTGGAGTACCACCACCACCATCTGCACCACCACCATCTGCACCACCACCACCATCTGCACCGCCACCACCATCTGCACCACCACCATCTGCACCATCCTGAGAAGGCTTCTTGAGCCGCGAACACACGATTGCTGCAACGCGCCGCCTGTGCTGCTCCTGTGTCCACAGGAACTGCCCGGCTTTACGAGAGAATACACCGCCTAACGCTTGGAGGCGCAACAGACAGAGCGGCACGCTGTACAGCCACTTGTCCTTCGCCACGCCCCCTGCCGCCGCTGCTCCCTCCACCGCTAGCGAAGCTGCGCTTCCTGCACGAGACGAAGCTGGAGGCGTGGTTAGTGTTGTCGAGCTGCTGCCCAGCCGCAGAGAGGCGGATGACAGCGCAGGCCATGGAGCTGCGTTGACAGCAGCGTACACTTGCTGCTGCTGCTCTTGTCGTTTGTCTGTGGGCAAAGGAGGTGCCGCAGTTACAAGCAGCAACAGCTGCAGCAGCAGGGGCTCTAGGCTTGTCGCAGGCAGGAGAGATGTGAGGTGTAGGTCTGCTAGGAAGCGCAGCAGCAGCCGCAACCTCGAGGACAGCTGCTGGTGCTTTGCAGCTACATCTGGAGCCAGCAGCGCAGAAGACTCTGCGAAAGAGGTAGGGAGAGCGCCCCCCACGTCTGCGGCGGAAGCGAAGGCAGCGCTGAGGCTCTGAAGCGCAGAAGAGATAAACAAGCACGCCAGCGGCTAGACACCCGTGGGGAGGCGAAGGGCAGAGGCAGACGCCACGAGTCGAACCTCAGAGACCGCTAGAGTGGAAGCAGCGCACCCGCTTAGCCCTGGCAACGGGGCGAATGCAGCTATCCAGGCAAGCAGAGAGTTAACAGAGCTGACGCTTCAGAGGCAAAGTCTCCTACCGCCAGCCCTCCCATGCCGCCACTTGGCTGGGTAGCAGACGACTCGAAGTTGCACTTACACAGATGTTTTTGTTGAGCGCTGCGAAAAAGAGGCTAGGGAACTCCGAGTAGCTGGCAGCAAGCGCCACAACGACTTCCGCTGCAGTCCTCAGTGCCGGAGGCTTGCAATCAACTTCCGCGAGTGCTGTCGCCAGCTCCGATAGGAACAGGTCCAGGTTTAGAGCCCTAATCTCGTCCAAAAGAGGCCGACTCTCCTTTTCCGTCAAGTGTTTTATACGGTTCAGTGCTTTCTGAATCCTGCTGAAGTTCTTCTCGGTGCCCTTAGGACGCAGACTCATTCCTTCACCGCCAGTCGGTCCGTCCTCGCCTTCATGGGTGGGCGGGCGCATCTCCCTATACACCCGGACACCCCATGCTAGATCCCGTAGATCCTCGCACAAGGCCGCAGCTTTCTTGGAAAGAGCGCTGGGGGGGGGGGGGGGGCCCCCCCCGGGGCGCTTGCTGGCTCTGGCGGGGGCCCTGCAGCCGCAGACGACCCAGAGGCCTCGGCCACCTTCGAGGCTCTCGCGTTGCTGGTTGCAACTGACATGACTTGCGAGGCAGGAAAAAGACGTTCAGGAGGGTAGACTTCCCATACGGAAGAGCAGCTGTGCAGCAGCGGCCCTACTGGAAGTGGCAAGGGAGAGCACGTTTCTCTTTCAGCCGCTCTACAGTGTGAAATCTGCCGTTGGTCTTAGGGCGGTAGGCACATGCACGCCGCTGATTTAGAAGAGCTCCCTGTACACCGCGGCACAGACAAGGGACCTCGCACACGGAGGCGAGTACTACCAGCCCGACACACCGCGGGTTCGCAATATGCCTATGAATGAGGCCACCTCCTGCAGGGCGAAGACCTGCTGTATCCCTTTGTCTTTGCGGCTCCCAACAATCGCTGGACAGAGACTCGTATTTTCTCCTGCCTTGACAAGTCGAGGGGGCCCCTGGGTGACGCTGGGACGCTGCCTCTGCCCCATCAAGGCCGTGAAGGGATTATGCCACCTCTGGAACCTCTATCTTGCCATGTCTTGGGGAAAAGAGACGATCGCCACAGCAACTCAGAGAGCGCTGCTGCGATGCAAAGCGCCCTTCCCCTGCTGCTACAAACTGCGAGATGGCCCCCCGAAGTTGCACTACTGCAGGGCTAGAGGCATTAAAGACCTGGCACTAAACCTTGCGTGCAACTGCAGAGAAAGTGCAGCAGTGTGGCACTCTGGTATCTCCCTTTTGTTTCCGTAAGTAATTCCTAATTGGCTGGAAGCCCAAGGGGCCCCGCCACCTCCGGAATCATGCCAGCTTCGCTCGACGTTTGCATAAAGTAATGCATGCAAACACACGTGTAGTCGTACGAGCTGTTTATCAGAACCCATAATTACTTATTTCGCGCATCATACGCGCCTCCCGGCAATGCGTTTTACTAGCCTGCCAGACCGGGGCGGTCGTGCAGCACCGTAGCTCAGTGGGAGAGTGGGGGGCTCATAACCCCCAGGTCCATGGATCGAAACCATGCGGTGCTATTTTCTCTTCCCTTTCTCTTTCAATTAGGCTGCCGTTTTTCTTCGTGTATATTCCGTTGCTTCTGCCTCTTTACTCTACGCTTTAGCACTACAGCACGAAGCCCAAGGGCTTGACTCGCAATAGTTCACTAGGCGCTTCCTGGAAATAGATATCGCATTGACTACATACATACACACGCTGCACAGTGCACCGTGATACGACGTGTCTTTAATCCACTTTTAGCGGCATGTGCTATACATAGAACAACAGAAAGATCTGCAGCAACAGTACTGCTGAAACAGCGCCACCACGTGTAGCCCGAGTTACCACTGACTGTTGGTTACGGGACGTGACTCCTCAAGAGGCCCATGTGCGCGTATGCTAAGGATGCTCGCGAATTTTAATGCTGCCTGAAGGGCAGAATTAATCACGTGCCACTCGCTATACTACCATACGCCTCTCCCTCAAATTCCACTTGTTCTACAACCCACCCTATCGGCCCAAGCGCTGGCATCCAGAGTCGGGTGCGAAATTCCAAGGCTTCAAGAGGCGGAAAGAGGCCCTGCAGATCCCGTTCCGCTTCACGTCACGTACACCCCAATGACCAGTCTACTCCTGTGTCGTCCAACAGGGACTCAGGGAAACACGTTCTGCTACTGCAGCGGTTGGTCCTGGCAGGACGAACCGCAGTGGCCGGTGTATCCGGTGTACGTCCACTTCATCCGATAGCCCTTAGGTTCGCCTTAACGCGCTTATAAAGTTTTAGAGGCACAAAGCATTTGGGGGCAGGGGGGGCCTGGATGCATCTGTAGAACAGTACGTAGGGGACGTCGTCTCTTGAAGTGTCTCTGCTGATTTTATTGATCCTGTCCGAGTCCACTATATATACGGTGCTGTCATCAAGTGTATACCATGGCCTTTGTGCGCCTCCTGGTGTTTTTTTTGTGGCACCACGAGGAGCAGAAGAAGCCCCCTCTGTAGGGGCCTGTGCAAACGGCTCTGATCGCCTACCCACGCAGTAATAATGACCGGAGTTAGCGGTGGACCCCGAGTGTACAATCGCCGCATATAACTCGTACTGGAATCCACAGATACACAGCTGAGGCTCTGCCTCGACATGGGTCGGTATCTTCTTCTTCTCGTTGGAGACTATACTCCAAGCATAGCGGTTCAGAGTAACGACCAGGTGAGCAGGCGGCGAAGCTATTTCCTGCCACTTGACCGCTTCTTGCTTGCTGTTGCAACTCTCACATGCATACAGGTTGTCGCCTTGCAGCCTCTCCTGCTTTACATACGCATCAAACATGCCCTGGATAGAAGGGCCCCCTGGGGCCCTTCCCGATCCCTCGGACGCCTCCGCCTGAGAAGGCATTGGGAAGTCAAAGCCGCTGACTGTTTCCGTCCTTCGGCTCTGCCTGTTACAGCGGCAACACTGCACGACCTGCACCGTAACTCCGGCAAACAGAAGCCGCAGCAGCGCCTGCTCGTGACCCCCCAGTAAATCAAACAAACAGTGGGAGGCTTCGCTGACATCCTGCTGTTGCTGTCGCTGGTACTGCTCCGGCAGAGCCCTCAGAACCCCTGAAGGGTCTGCGCTAGTGTTTTTGGATACAGCCAACTCCATGAAGAGGTACTGCAATGCGCAGAGCAGCTGCGGGCTGCCGCTACTGCTGCAACTGCTGTTGTTGCTGCTGCTCTTGCTTCTACTGCTGCTGTTGCTGCCTGGAGGAGCCAGGCTAAAGCGAAACAAGTTCGAGACAAACCCGTCACACAAAAAGAGGGCTTGTAGCAAGCTGTTCAGGTAGCAGCTGTTTCCCACATTGCGAAGACCCAGAGGGAGCCGCTGTCTTTTCCTGGTGGAATGACAGTGCAAGAAAAGCTCTGCGCAATCGTACGGGTCCAGAGTACAGTCAAGCTGCAGCGCTGGAGGACCTAAGGGAAGCTGCTGGTGTGGCTGAAGCTGCTGGTGCTGCTGAAGCTGCTGGTAAAGCTGAAGCTGCTGGTAAAGCTGAAGCTGCTGTTGCTTGTGCTGAAACTGCACTTCTGCCTCTGCGTAATACGGGTTAGTGTCGGACGGCCCGGAGACAACTGGCGGCTGCTGCAGCAGCAAGGGGGGAACGTGTGTCAGCATCTGCTGCTGCTGCTGGAGAGGGAAGGTCCCCGCCTGCGCTGCTCCAGCAGCCATGAACTGCGATGGGAAGGAAGAGAAGTTTCCGTCTGCTGTTGATGCCACGCTGCTGCAATACGAGCCGCTGCCCTCGGATGAAGCCACGAGCAGCCCCCAACAAGGAGTGGGCTGTTGCAACAGCTGCATGTGCATCTGATGCTGGCGCTGCACGGCAAACTGCATCCGCTGCTGCTGAGGAAGTGGATGCAACTGGTGAAGAGGGAACGGGGTAGGTGATATCAAGGGTGCAACTGCTGTCGCAAAGCCGTCCGCGCCGGGAGCATCCCTGGTGTGGCTGCTGTTGACGGTCCATGAGGAGCTGCTAAGAGGGATGCGCGAGACCCCCGTTTCAGTGGGGAGGGAGCCTCCCGCATCCTCTGCAATAGACTGGTGCACGCCTTGCAGCCATTGCTCTCCCTGCATTGCTGGAGCTGAGGCAGACGCCAAATTGCTAGCCTGCATGCTGCCTTGGGTAGATTCTGGTGCTGCTGCTGCAGATGCTGCTGCGGTGCACCTGGTAGGTCGTGGAGAGCCGCTTTCCTTCCCTTTCGAGAAACGACTGGCCTTAGCCTGCTGTGTGTCTGCTGCGTGCCCTGCTGTGGCACTGGCGATATTCTCGGATGGCGGGTTCCGTGAAGTGCGGTGCTCTGTAGGCTTGGAGTTATGCGGCTGGCCATGTTGCGCGTGTGGTTCGCGGCCTCCTTCGCCACTAGGACGCGCCTTGCTTTCTGCCTCGTTCCGGTGTGACACTTCTTTCTTGCTGCGCTCCAGAAGCAACATGATGCGGCGGTGCAGCTGTGGAGAGAAGTCCTCCTGTCTCCAAACTCTCTCGAGTCTCTCCCTCGCAGAGCCTCGAGGAGCTGTCCGTCTAGCGCCTTCTCCCCCCCCCCTGTGCCCCTGCAAAATCGGGGAGGCCTTGTCTCTGCCTGCAACTGTTTCTGCAGGCAGCGACAAGGCAGACGGCAAGCCGCCCTCCCGTGGGTTACCGCCACTCTCTGCTGCCGGGTGTATCAGGATCCCCAGGCGCAGCGACGGGGGCCCCCCCCCCGACGTCTCGGGAGGGGCCTCCGCCGGTACGGAGGAGAAAGGTAGCCCTCTCTGAAAGGGCCTCGAGGAGGACGGCTCGGAGCAACTAGATATTTCAGAAGGGTTGTAGGGCCCTAGAGAAGGTAGGGCGTCCTCTACTGAATGCCACGAGGCTGCCTCGAAAGCCTGCTTCCCTGTGCTGCTGACCCCACTTGCTGCTGCAGCTCGTGTATTCGCTGGCCTTGTCTCAGTTAGGCGCTGGTGCTGTGGATCCAGAGAACGAGGAGGAGAGGAAAACGCTGAATTGAAGGCTCCTGGTGCCGGCGTTCTCCCCCCCGGTAAACCTTCAGCTGCAAGGCTCCCCAAACCCCCTTTTCGCAACAGACAACTTGAGGGCCGCCCTCCATGCTTGTTTTCTGTACCTCCAGTCCTGGGGGCACACGGCAGCTGCTGCTGCCATGGTGCTTCGACGCTTCCACCAGCAGCAGCAGTACCCGCGGCTTCATCCTCAACACACGAACTGATGCACGAGGCTGCGTCTCCAGCATGCTGCGTCACCGTGGCGGAAGCCACGGGCCTCCTCAAGTGCGTGATGCTAATGCTGCTGCTGCTGTAGTTGTTGCTCGTTCGGCTGTCTTCATGAGGCACCATGCAGCACTCGCGTTCCCGCCGGTGCGCATACGGCTCCTGATCGCCTCTGTCTCTCTCGTAGAACCAGCCAGAAGGACGCCACGGTGCTGTGGCGGCTTCTGTTTCTATCCAAAGCTCAGCAGCTATGGCCGCTTCAATTCCTTGACGAGCAGCAGCCACAGACCTGCAGCTGCCCTGCGCAGCAAGTGTACTGTACACCGCCTCATACACCTCCTTCGCGCTATGCGCCTCGTGCCGCCAGGTAAGGGCCTCACCAATGGACGTCAGCAACTCGCGTAAGAGCTGAGAGGCCCTCCACCGATTCGGATCCGCCCCTGCCTCCTCCCAAGTAGCAGGCCCTGCACCTGCGAGTCCAGCTGCTCCTACTGCTGACTCCCCAAGAGAAGCAGCGGCAGAAAAAGCCGTGTGAGGGGACCCCTCCATTGCCACCACGCCTTCGTTGAGCCCTGATGAAAGGCTACTGCTGCGCCCTTCCGAGCGAAGGTCGACAACGCCGGCCCCCTGCTGCCCTAGAAGCGGCACTTTGCAACACCTTGAGTCAAGAGAAAGACATGAACGACTCTCCTCGCATGCTGCGGAAGCCGCTAGAGTCTTGCTGCACTGCTGCAAAAATGGAACTAACGGCACTAGCCCCTCTAGCACTAAGGGCATCCGGAGGGGCGGGTGCTGCTCCTCAGGTCTTCGATCACGCAGCAACTCCAGCAACAGCCAAACAGCCGCTGCACAGGTGTCTCTACACGTGGCAAACGTTGCCACACAACAACGAAGACAGCTTGCTGTTAGTTCAGCGTCCCCTTGCGCTCGCAGCAGATCCTGCCGCTGCACCTGCTGCCCGTGCTGTTCGCGCCTTATCCAGCTGCTTCGGGGGACTGCTGCTGCCGCTCTGCCGTCTACACCCTCAGCAGCAACCCGCAGAAGACAGCGCAACATGACAACACAGCCATCAATGCCAGTTGGTCCTGACATGTCCATGCTTTTGTGGAAGCGCTTCTTGTTGGCGTTGCTGCTGCTACTGCTGTTGCTGCTGTTACTGTCAAGTAGAGCCCTTACGGAGGCCAGCCAAAGAAGTAGAAAGAGCGTCAGCAGCTGCCCCCGGGTAACTCTGCACATACACGTGTTGCAGAAAAGCATTGCACCAAAAGCGCTTGCTGACACTACGCGCTCTCCAGCGGACCAGCGGAGATGGAGGCACAAACGTCATGAATGAAGGGAATGCGAAGAGGAAAAAAGGGGAGGTGTGGGAAGACGGGGGCAGAGAGGCCGTAAAGCCTGTCACAAATTCCACAAAAGGCGTTTTCGTCGAGCGAATAAAGCAACAGGGAGGGTCGCATTTCAACCGCATCCAGTAGTACAATCGAACCCTCGCACCGCAAGCCACATGTCGGAAAAGCGAATAAACTCGGAAGGCAGTCAAGCATGCCTACTTTGCATTTCTCAGTGCACTACGCGTTGCGTCAAGCACGGCTTCTTCGGGAAGGCTTGACAGAGAGACGAAGGAACTCGGGGGGCAGCGGCTTCTGAGCCTTTGGAGTTGCTGCAACGCCGCAGCGACCTCAGCAGCAGCAACAACTGACGGGTCCGCTGCAGCAACGGCCTCACCGGTCAAACTCTGCAGCAGCCGAGCATCCCACGGTGGCTGTACCGCACAGAAAGCAGTCGCATAGCGCATCACCATCACCATAACCACCTGCGTTCTCGGCGTTCGGAGTCTTCGGGAGGACGCGAAGGGGGAAAAAAGGGACTAGAGTTGAAGAATGAGGCCTCCACAAGACGATACACTCCCCCACACGTGCCCCCTAAACCCCAAGCGGCATGTAGTGGGCAGCAGAAGTGTACGGCGTGAGATTCAGGAAGTGGGTGGGGACTGTGCGTTCGTGGCCATAAAATCTGTCTTACGAGGTCAGGCGCTGCCTTCCACGCGATAAGCACCCGCACGAGTCGGCTTGGCGAGGGCCTTACTCCTGCCCATCTGCACCAGAGGCGTAGCAGCTGGGATCTGAGAGCCGATGCTGGCAGCAACGGTAACGCTGCCGCAGAATACCGCTGGCAGAGGTACGCCTCCAACGCCGCAATTGAGGCTCTGCCTCTGGCGTGCTCCCGTGTTCCTGCTGCGGCTCCTGTTGCTGCTCCCTCCACGGCGGAATCACGAGTGCCCCTGAATGTGGCGTTGGTCTCGAAATGCCTCGCCGAACTGGCAGAAGCAGACTCCGCCGCTGCATCTTCCTCTGCGTTCATCACTTGCAAGACTCCCGCAAACAGAGACACTGCCCTTAGCTCTTGCTGAGGGCCTTGCGGCCACCCTGCAGCCTCATCAAGGAGCGCCCGTAAAAACGACACCATCGCTGCCTCTGCTGCGGCAGAAGGCATCCGCTCGGCGCAGCGACGCGCTGCTTGCAGCAGCAAGTCTGCAGCAGCAGACACGCTGGCTGCTGCTGGTAAGGCTCCATCCTTCGTGCTGCAGCTGCAAGCATCGGGCTTCGTCGGATGCGCTAAGCCGCTGCCGCTGCTGCAGCGAGCGGCAGCTTTGTAATGCAGCAGGAGCTCCGGCAGGAGCGTCTCCGGCGGAACGTGATGCTGCAATTGCCGTAGCAGCCGCTTCAGAGTGGCGATCTCCCCTCTTGCCGCCAAAGGCGCAGACGCTGCAGCCGTGTATTGCACGTGCCCATCAGGGTCTGTTAACGGACTCCCACACACTTGGCCTGGGAGCCTTCCGAGCGCCTCTAGCAACTGCTGCATGCACACTCCTTCTGGTGCTGCTGCAGCATGGGGTGTAGAAGGGCTGCTTGCAGTTGTCTCCACGGTTCCAAGGCTAGCTGGACTTACCTGCTTCTGCGAAGAAGACCGCTGCTCCTGGCGTTGCGCTCTGCTAGTGGCAACACCACCAGGCTTCGTTAAGGCCTGAGACGGAGCGGAAGCCGCCACGACACACGCGCATGCTTCCTTTCCGGCCAGACTCACGCCTGGTGCAGCACCAGCTGCTGCCGTAGCGTCTGCCACTGCACCTTGAGACATCGCGAGGTGCTGCGCGCGGCGGGTGGACGGGAAACAAGGGGCTTTCACGGCCTGCTTTTTCGTGCTTCCCTTGATGCTGCTGCTCATCGCCAGTTTGGAAGCTGAGTCTCCCGAAGTGCACTGCCGAGGCTTCCTTCCCGCTGCGGCTAAAAGACTGGGGATGCCTCCAGGGCCTGGCAACGCCTCCGGAGCGCCGCAAGCGGGGGAACTGCCACTCCCTGACATAGAGGTCGCACTGCATACAGCCGTTGATGCATTCGCTGCCGAGGCAGCGTCGCCTTGCTGCTCCTTCACATGGACGCATGCTGGATGCTGCTGTAGCTCTGCTTCGGTGCCGCTTCTTCCTGTTGCTCCATGCGCTTCATCTCGAAGAACGGCATCTCCTGCCGGCAGCAGCTCTGGCTTTGCCTGGCTCATCTCCTGTGCGAATTGGGGATACTCGTTATCGTCTCGCTGCTGCCCGATGCTGGGGATGCGTCTCTTGAAAGCCCCACTACAGCTTCTGCTGCTGCTGCTGCTCCATGGTGTTGAAACGGTCAAGCGGTCACTTCCCGGAAAAGGCGCAGCTGCAAGCCGTTGCGGCAGCCAGCGCTTCCATGTGGGTTGCTGCTGCTGCTGTTGTTGCTGCTGTTGTTGCTGCTGTTGTTGCTGCTGTTTTTGCCGCTGGACAGGGATCTGAGGCAGCTGCGAGTGGCGCTGCTGTTGTCGGGGGAGTCGCCACAAATGTTTGCTGTGGGGAGGGTCCAAGCTCGTAGATCTGTAGCGGTGGTGTGTTGGTTCTGCAGCAGCTGCTGACGATGACACCCAGGAGAGATTATGCTGTTGCACCTGTGAAGCACGATCTGGAAGCGGAAAGGATGCAGGGGCACACTGTGGGACGTCTACATGTCTCAATGGCTCGCTGTCACTGTCGATGCTACGACTAGAACAGTCTGTTGTTTGAGGCTGCAGCAGGTGGTGGTACTGCGGCAGCTGCTGCTGCAACTGCTGCTGCTGCTGCTGCGGTAGGTCCTTCGGCCCCTGCAACCAATCTCGTCGCAACAGAAACACTTATCGGTGCAGCGCTAGCTGCTTCTGCAGCCAGCAGGATGAGAAATAGCAGAAACCTAAGCAGATGGTCCTTTTGTTTTCTGCGTGCGCCGTACGGCTTTGGCCCTAAGCCGTAAGCGAAAGGAAAAAGGGGGAACCGGACGAACCTTTATGGAGGCGCCATGAAGACTTACGGGTAAAGCCGAGGAATCGTTTGTGAGCTGGAATTGTTGTTGCTGTTGCTTCTGAGAGTCCATATCTGCTGCTGGTGCCGTGTGCCACTGGACGTCAAGAGGAGGTGGCAACGGGGGCTTCACTACGGCGCTTTTACCCCATGACGGCAGACGCGGTTGCGGCTCCAGCGTCTCGCGCTTCTGCGATTCAGCAGACGGTGCATCCCTCGGGGAAGACGGGAACGAAGGGACATGAAGGGCCCTCTGGCGTTCTTCATCCTCCCGCTCGCTTGTTCCTGCTGCTGGGTCTTGGCTTAGCTGGTGCTGCTCGATTTTTCCCCGTTGCTGCAATTCTTGTGGACCCCCTCGCTGCTGCAGCTGCTCTTCTTTCTGCTTACGTTGGCTAAGGGGGCCCCATCCCTCCCTGGTGGATCGGGGAGACGTTGCAACAGAGCTTTGATCGGAAGGGAAGCGGGCTATGTACTCAGTGCTGCTGCCACTGCTATTGCTGCTCTCCCTGCTGCTTCGTGTCTTGTGCTGCTGTTGCTGAGGAGGTGGTGCCTGGTGCTGCAGATCGCCGTTCAAGTTCTGGTGCTGCATTGTCCACTTCTTGCTGCTGCCGAGCTTGGCATCCAGATTCCTTTACCGTGGATCGCTGCTCTGGATCTGTATGCTGGTGCTGCCGTCTAAGGTGAGGACCGCTCTGCCGGTTCTGCGGTCAAAGATACGCGTGCTGCTACGACGACAGCCGCAGCTTTCGCTAGCCTCCGTTGCTCTGTGCGCCGTGGCAATGAATGTCGTGCAGAGGGCCCTCTGGCCCTACGCTGTCTATGCCTACTGCTCAAGGCACCCCGCGCTCCTGAAATTACGCCCTACGCACCTGGGGGCCCCCTTAGGCATCAGGGGGCCCCCCAATGACTGCAGATAGGCGAGCGCCACTCAGCAGCCAAAGTGGCATTTGGGACTCACGAGGAAATACGTAGCTGTATGCGCGTGTTATACAAAAGCAGAGTCATTGGCGGCTTGATAATTCAGAACTTCGATATTGGGCTTCAGGACATCATGGGCATTAGGCCAGCGCCTTTCAATAGACAACGAGCACGTTGGCTGGCACGCATACCAGGGGTCCCCGTTTGCAAAGCATTTGTTCTGCGTTTACTTTTATATGGCTCCTAAAGATTAATAATTTTAGGGCTATGCCTTAGGGCGCAGGGTATGCGGATTAGAACGTAGCATGTTTAGCAACTGCCACTCCCTCACCACCTTGAATGGCTTGTGCAACATCGCACGTCACCAGTACTCATGGATACTTGACGACCTTTTTTAACGAGAACAGATGTACGCAAGTGATGTTTACCTAGCTTTCAGGCATAGTAAGCCGAGTGTAGGATGCTACACCTGAGCATATTGCTGCCTGCTGGTTCTTTCGTAATTTCCTCGTTTGCTGATCCCCCAATGTCCCTTTGATCTTTTTATCTACTTTTGAAAAAATCCAGGAGTCTCTCCTAGGACCTCACCACATTTCTGTACGTCCGGTATTGTCAAAGCCTTTGAGGAAGTGTGTTCAAGCAGCTCAAGATGTAGCTGCAGAATCCTTCGGTCTTACTACCTCGAATGTATCCTGCTGCCCCATGGTCGCACCCGACCTAGTGTCTGCAGCTTGTGTATACACAGGCAGCAGAAGCTACCGCCAATTCCTGCAACTCGAGCGGGTTCAACACTTCCTACTGTACTAGAATTAACTATCTAAAGATTAGTAACGAGATGCATTTGGTTCGCCCTTCGTACAGCGTATCTGTTGCAAAGTTTTGCAAGCTCAATACAGAAAGCCGCAATGTTGCCGGCGTGTGCTCTAGATGCATTGGGCTCCAAGGCAACTAGCTGTGAATTCTTCGTGCTTCGAGGGTGCACCTACACGCACCTAAAAGTTTCTCTCTTTCGTCGTGCCAGGTTGCTAAAGAGCACAGGAAGGATGAGAAAGAATATCTTATAGGAAGCACAGAAGCCTATACAGTTTGTATCGTGTGTGGAGTTCTGCATCTCTTAACAGTGATCCTAGATGTAATTTCACTGTCAGTAGCGCAAAGGACTGCATTACGAGGCCAGCCTTTCTACGTGCTGAAGAGCATCTGTTCTCCGTGATCGCGAATCTCTTGGTCGCAGTTTACACATTTTCGCTTATACGACATGCTGTTATAGAGTATTTTCTTGAAAGAATGTAGCGTCTTTGCGCTGCAGAAGGCCTTTAAGAACAGTTATAAACCCGTAGCCGTAGTTGTCACTAAAACGCATTGAAGACCGGGGTCCCCACGAGGAGGAATCCCCCTGGGAAGTCGGTGTCGCACGGGCCCAAATCGAAACGGGAAAGCCACATCACAGGCAGGTATTGCTGCGATTAACACTGCAGCTGCTGCTGCTGCTGCAGTGCGGGTGTCAGCAACGCGCCCTGCGCCCTTTGCTTGAAGGAAAAGCTAAAGCTGGGCCATGCTTGCCAGCCTGAGTATGGGTCCTACTAAGACCCGCTGCTAGCTGCATGCCTTTGCATAACGACTCAGGTCCTGGGAATCTTTGCAAAGACCCATTAGCAGCTCTGGCAGACATCACGCACAGATATATACCTATTGAGTACATGTTAATAAACCTAGTTCCTAGAAAGAAAATTGAAACAAAAAAGGCACGAAGAAACTGAAGGCAGCTGAAAGAGCCGAAGGCCCCGCAGGTAATTATGCGGTGAGTAGTTAACAGCCAACTAAATGGAGCAATGTGTGAGTACATGGACAACACCTAGAAGCTTCTAAACATCGAAGAGTCCATACATATGAGTGCGCAGATGCATCACTCCGATTACACACTTTAGTTGGCATACACCTATGCATACAGGCATTGAAACAACGTGTACTAAGAGGTTTCTATTGCCCTCACTATTGTGGAGAATACGCTGAAGACGCGTCTTCGCCTTCACCGTCTGAGCTGCCCCCGTCTGTCTCTGCCGCATACATTAAGTTGTGCAGGATAGCTGCGGCGCTGCTAGGCCTCCGAGGGGAGGGAATAACGTTGGAGCGAGGGCTGGACAGACAACGTGTCGCTGCACCAAATATCAGCAGTAACAGCAAAGAGAAGAAGCGGAAGCTGTTCAAGTCCTGGAACTATGTATTTCCAAACATCTGACGAGCGGCATCAATATACAATAATGCAACAGGAAGTCCTTCCCCTCAAACGTATACTGCTATTCCGCTTATCAGGTATATTTGTGCTTCGAGGGAGGGGCAGCTGTACGCATGTCACAAGGTTTACCCCAATGCTATACGGATCTGTGTTTGTTGCAGCATAGGGTAGAGCACCTGATATTGATATTTCTGAAGACCTTTGGTTAAGCTCAATCGGAGCGTCACTCTGAGTCACTGTGGGCTTGCGCTTAGCCTTCTTTTGTTTCTTATCGTTTAAACGGACCCGAGAAATGGCATCATCTGCCGTGGCGCAAAGATCCAAATAGGCCCTCAACTGGAAGGGTACACAGATGTAAGAATACACACACATTTAACGGCGATGATAGGAGGCAGTACAGAGAAGAAGCCAGGACATACAAAACGCCAAGGCAGCCAGGGCTAGTCAGGCACCTCGAGACAGCTACAGTCAAGGAGTGCACGTACATTGCAGGACTGCAGCAAGAGTGCTTTCCACCACAAGGCCTCGGTTATCAGTTCATTTTGATCGTTAAGTAGGCTGCAATAGCTCTTTGCCTCACTAGCCACGCGTCGTACCTTGTCAATAAATTCGAAAAGCCCATCTGACCAGAGATCTCTGCTTCTGTCTACTCTCTTGAAGAACAGATCGTGCTGCTGGTATTTGTCGTGGTATCGAACGTAAAACGTATGAGGGTCTGTCTTGTCTGGAAGCACCAGACTAATCGCTAACAAAGGGTACCTATCCACTGGCTTCGCATCATTGTAACAAGCCTGACGGCTAGTCCAACATACCCATTCCCACCGGTCTGCCAAACGGGGCAGCAAATAACACACGAGCAGAAAAGGAGCTTCTAGAGGCAATCATTCAAGCATGTTAAGATAAAAAGCAGAATCACAACCAAATGGGCAACAGAACGCAAAAACTCAACCAAGAAGCCAACGGAGACATTTGGCTCTGAAAATCTTATATACAGGTGGCGCGTACTAATCAACGGACCAAGCGTCAGCGTGATACCGATCCAAACGTAACGAGCCATAAATCATAGGAGTTGACCTCAAAACCTCAGTTCGAGAAAAAATACAACTCCCATGTCACTGTGATACCAAGTCTCATCCTTCAGTTCTTCATGAAACCTACCCTTCGCAGTCTCCACAGCCTTAAAGTATAGATCCGTCCAGGCTGTCCCCGAGGAGGCCATCCGCTGGAGAGGCCCCTCAAGTACTTTGGAGAAGAAAATAAGACGCTCCTTCTCCCCCATTGAAGCCAAGTCCTGCGCGAGCAGTGCCCGAATCAGCGGTAACACTGACAACAATGGTAAAGTAGGATATCCGAGGCGCGCACAGCGAACAGCAAAGGAGGAAAGAGGGGAAGGCCGCATGAATTGGATAATCAAGAATTTACGAAGGGTAAGTCACAATAAAGCGAGATGAAGGTACAAATGAGCGCATTGGCAGACCTAAACATTTTGTATGTTTACTTCTTTACACAAATGCACTATATATATATCTCTACAAATGCACGAAGGAGATAAATAGGCATGTTTGGAGGTCCAGCGGATTACACGAGGTGAACTCATGCCCTGTTTAAATGCAAATGAAATGCTCTCTCTTCATGCCTCATTTTGCTTTAAAACGCCGGTCGTCCTAACCCAGACGTTCATGTTCTCCAGACTCCCTTTATATGCCGCTCTAAATGCACAAGTTCATTTAGTACCTAATGCATGATCAAACAGGCCAACAGCGCTCTCCCCCTTCTACAGGTTTCTCCCGATGGATGCAGGCATTCAGCGACTCTGGTGTCATGACTGTATAAGGAGCACACAGCAAAGCGAAGCACGTGGAAGCAGCCTTACAAGGTTAAGAGGCTCGTTCTTTGCTTGCGCCTCTTGCTGCGCCAGCAGTACTGCCTGTTGCAGCAAAGGAGACTGAGCGGATGGCAACTTGGGGTCCACTGGACAACCAAAAAAGACAGCAATACCGGTTCGAAAGCATAGACCGACAGCATAATATTAATCGTTCTGGGGACTACCTGCTTTCATAATCCTCATCGACAGAAAGATTGAAAAACTTTTGGAGAGAATACCCTTGACTGAGGGAGCTTGAGGGCAGGCAAAGCTGGAGTACTGTAAGGCCGCAAAACCCTAGAACTTACTATGATGGAACGATAATAGTACCCTTACGTTGTTGACGCCTTTTACCGCATTCATTGTAAACCTGGAGAAAGCATGCAAATCGCCCAAGTACGTCTATGTGGCTAATTGCCAGGGGTGGACATGTACGTGTATGAAGGCAGAGGTGCCCTACTTGTACATTTCCTAATCTGTGTACGCCTCTGCATTTCAGTTCGGCCCCCGAAACCGTGCAGATGACTTCTGTCATTCTTAAGCCTCTCTGAGTGCCCTTGTGCTTCTCCCCTCCCTCTCCCCTTGATTTTCCCTCTCTATCTCTCTTATAGTGAGATCCTCTTTTAACTTCTTGTACCATTCTTTCTTGGGAAACTTCCTGTCTAGAATTTCCTGCTTGACATTCATGCTGTAGGCTGCGACAACTTCTGTCTTGAGGATTCCTTTCTTCAGGAGCTGCAGTTTTATCACATCGTCTACTTGCCGCACTTTCACAAAAAGGCGCTCCTCTACCAACGCGTTGCTTGCAATGACAGTTATGTCTGAGCACAGACATACTAAAAAATGTACGGCGTATATTTCAAAGAGTCAGCTCTCTATTCTCTCATGGTATGAGCAAATTATTGTACTACGGTGTATTATCGCCTCGTTGAATGCAGTAGCACGGGTACCCCCACAAGAGTAAGATAAGGGGAAGCCTACGCCAAGAAGCTTGGAAGCACGCTTTGGATGATTTTGTTGAACGTTTAGACTTCAGAGTCCTAGCTCTGCACTGGGGTTCAGTGCAGTAGAGTTGGCACTTTACCTCTCGTAAGGGCCTGACTCCTGCCAACATTAACCTGTAGATATAATGAAGCGCCTTTCGGGAGCCTCTCCAGCTCGTGCACCTCTATTATCAAATTAAACTTGCGGTGATCCTGGCAACCCATGCAATAGCAGATTGCCCCTGCAAAAACACAAACCACAAAAATCCTAAAGGGGTAGGAGAAAATGCACCAATAGGCACAAAAACTGAACTTCCCGTGGGCATAGCGCAAGTGCAGTTGTACCTGCTACTGTTCACGGTTTCGCATTTCTGGCTGGGAAGCTGATGATTTGGACCATGATCTCACCGATGCATCCACATTCTGTGGGATGAGGGCAAACACAGCACTGCTTCAGGCTTCCAAGACAACTGTCCGAGGCGTTCGATATGGCAGAAGAGAATAACCCAGTTAAGGCACTACCGCCAACTCCAGCTCCACGGGCCGCCGCATTCAGCAGCAAGTTCACCATCTTTACAGGCTAAATAGCTAACTCTATATCCTGAATCTCGAATCCCCAATCCTGATTCTGGGAAACGAATTAAAAGCTACAACGGAAAACGACCGAGGAATCAGGAGAGAGGTGTAGGGGAAGCTCGGCGGACGACAAGCTTTAAGGAGAAGGTCGCTATCGCTGCCAATAAGGCTCGTACACAGAAGGCGAAAGCAGGTAGCCATGGAGGGGCCCCTGGCGTACGGTAATAGGGGCCCCTCCTTCTCTGTGTACAAAACCACTGGACTCAGGCAAGTAGCCCGAGACGGGGATGAATCCTGTGCATCATTCATAGAAGTGAGACCACTGAGTGTGAACCTTCAGACTCCAACGCACACTGGGAAACCTCCAGCCGCTCCTCGCAACAACCAAATGATCACTTGCTGCAAAGCCCATGCTCTGCGGTCCTTGTAGACATACCACCTGCAGAAAGGGTATGTTGCTTTATCGAGGGGGGACAGCATCACTGGCCGGAAACATACAACACACCGACTGGCTCGGAAGGAGGCCCTGTAGCGTTTGCCGCCTAAATCAGTCGTTCAGTGGACAGTAAAGAGATCACTAGCATTTTAATTTATATAAATGCACAAGTTAGTGCGGAACTTGTCAAATACAGGTATAAATATCAATGAAGCATGCAGCGCCCAGCCTGGCCAGCTGCCCTGTCGATACATGCCGTAAAGTCGAACATAATAGATAGGCAAATTTTACCCCAGCTATCCTGCAACCTTCGTTTTTGATAGCACAATATTTATATCGGGGTCTTTGCATTTTGAATTGCGTGTTCGCCTGCAATTGTCTTGCAGGAAAACCCGCTTTTTGTCTCACTAGCTGCAGGTTCCAGCAGCTGTGCTTCCCATCGACGTACAGATCTACCCTATTCCATCTAGTACATTGAGTACATATGGGGTGGTATTGCATGCCATTTAAAGACATATAATACACGGTCGTGTTGAAAAATAAACATCCCGGGTGTTCCACCACGATCGCCTCCCAAATTTCTGTACAACATTTTCTGAACATTTTTGTAAATGTACGATGAAAAACGGGAGCAACCAGCTTGATATCAACAAAAACCCCGGGATCATATTAAATGGCGTCGATGACTAGTAAAAGGCTAGGGTGCATCTCACGAGCTTCATATCCACGCAACGACACTCTACTGTAGGTTCATTGAAAGCCTGGAAGAACTGACCTGACTCCTCTAGGAAACTGTTGCCAGTCGCTGCAAGCGACACTCAGAGCTACCAACGTGAGAGTAGGCGGTCAGCAAGCGTGCACCGCATCTTGTAAATAAGCACCTGGACTGCTGTGGGCTACGTTGAAACTTGGCTTTCTTCGGCACTTCTTATGCTTAGCTAAGAACTAACGAAGAACAAACTTATTGATGTGATTTTTTGTAAATCGTGTATATAGCTGAGTAGCCATAGTTCAGCGCAAGAAGACCCTATTTTGCCGGCGTGTGCGCTACATGTAATGTGCAACTGGCTGCGAACGCTGCGCGTGCTGGAGAAGCTACGCGCACCCTAGCTTTCCGTCTCCACTCATGTCGAAAATCAGAGCTGCACCGAGATGGTAAGGAGGGATGTTTTCGAGAAATGGCCGGCAGCTTCCCATAGAGTTTGCATTGCCCTTCAAATCAAGTGTCTCCACATATAGACCCCAAATGAAGCGCTGGCGGTGCCATGGTTCGATGCAGCTGCTGCCTTCCTTCACCCAGTGGCTGTGGATAGAGAGGGTCAACAGGGTTCTTTAGCATTATGGCCTAGTTCTGATAACGCTGTTGGTAGTTTATAATCTAGTTTCTGTCGGCGAGTGGCTCGCTCAAGGGCTTCGTTGGATGGAAGTAGAAGGTGGCACAATCCCAACTGAGCAGGATAGGTCGGCATACAAGCTAAGTAACCTCAGCAGCTCGACACCCAGTAGAACAATTCGATTCGCCTCCCATAAAAATGTTTACGTATGTGTCGAGGAACCTATGCCGACCGTAACAGCATGCTGGCCGTGACGGAAAGCCAGCAAGCGAAGCTTTTATCAAACGGTTGGTAAATGCTGTGCTTCTACCCACAGATATAGAGAAATGAATGCTCCATGCAGTCTCTTATTGAAGGTAAAAGCATTTCAGATTGGCAGAGCAGGACCCCAAATTTACATACAACAAGCCTTGGCTGGAAGTCCGAAATGTAGCCTTCGCCCTAATCGGGCTCTGCGGATCGAGTGCGCGTGAAAACAAGGCACGTGGCAGGCTCCGCCGAAGAGACTGTCTACTGGGCTTCCAGGCTTGAAAATTTTAAATGGCTATTGTTTTTTAAAAATGGAGGCTGCGTATTAGAAGGGATGTAGTGATTTTTGTTTAGTGACCTCTGACCAGCTGCAGCTTGGCGTAGCACCTGGTGCACCTACAGTGTGCATTGCACTAGAACTTTTGGACACGGAGAACACACTAGAAACTATTAGTGAAATGTGGTGAAGAACTCCCAGCTCAGTCGTATGGGGAGAAGCCATTGCGGACTTCGTTGCTTGCGGGAGAATTCGCTGCTCAAGTTTGTTACCTCTAGTGTCTACGCACAGTATTGCCTGCGTTCCACTTACTTGTGCTGCCTCAGCACAGGCTGTGCTTGTATTAGCTGCTTTCACTTGAAGGGCATTACTTAAAATGTTACGGCTTATTACCAAACTGTTCTCTATACTTCAACATACGCTCAGGCACTCTCACATATGTAGTCTTCATGTTTTTCCTAGCGTTTTCGCCAAAATTTGGAGTCTGCACTCGTTGGCTCTATCTGTATGCAGCCATTACATTTTTACCCGCGGTGGCACTGTTAGAATGCTACTATGGATTTAAACCTTGTTTAACACATTTTACGTGCTTTTTGTTTTCAGTGCCGCGATCGTGTCGGTTTTCGGTCCCTCGTAAATTGTTGGGTAGGGCACCAGTCATTATTCTCGTCGGCTTCACGTTATCAGGTGATGCACACATCGCCTTGCGGTTCCCTTAAGGACTGTTTTCACGTTTCTGCGTGCCTGCTCCGTAGCATTGTGGCGGGATATGTTTCGCTGCCCTGCTTAAAGCTTATCTCAACGTAGAGGACCGCCACCTCAGGGCGTGTGTCTAAATTAGGGCGGACACAAGGTGTAGCCGTCTAAGCAACACTTGTAGACTTTATACCACAGTAGGAATAAAAACCTACGAATCACAGAAGAATCGAGCTATTGGTTTTTCCGTACCTAAAAATTGTTTATTTACAAAGTAGTGTTTGCTAGATACAAGATGACTCTACATTGTATGCGTTTGTGCTAGATGCGGCGTGCAGCTGGCTGTAAATGCCCGGAGTGCCTAGCAGGCGCAGCTAAGCGCACCGTAGTTGCCTCCTACCCTCATGTCCGAGCTCTAAGGTCAGGAGACAGAAGGAATCAAGCGCTTTGTTAAAAGCACTGGACCGCTCTCCATCAAGCTGCTACTCCCAAGTTGAGTCTTCCTCCAGAGTCCCTGGAAAAGTGTTACACCTGTAGACACACAACAATATTTTTCGCTGATGAGCAAGAAGTACTCTGCAGTCAATTAGGTACACGAACTACCAAACCAAGGAGTCAATTTCTTTTATGGTCTTGCTTAGCTATATCTAATGCTGTAGAAAATGCCCTAATTGTGCATGAGATGTTGGCCAAGGGAAAGACAGTTACCTATTACATCGTTATAAGGCTCTATTTACTGGTCTACTAGATCGTCATAAGACTCTATTCACGTGTTTGCTGCAAAATTTCAATTAGAATATCTGCTGGTCTTACATGTATATCTGCGATTTGTGAAGAGGAATAGTCGCTGGGTTTTGGGGCTGAGAACTGTGTGCCACGGCGAGGGTTGGTGGGAGGGGGGCAGAAAAAACAAAGGGGCTTTTGGGAAGAAGTGAGGGTAGTTTTGTGTTCAGGCATTGTTTCTTGTTTTGTTTCGTCCTTTACTTTCGGCCAATGAAACGAGCACAGGGGAGCTAACCCCCGCATTTAATCACTTCTCCTTTAAAGGAGTAAATACCCACTTTACCACCCTCTCTGGGGTGGGGGTTCACCTGTCAACTCAAGTCTTCGACTCTACCTTGAATAAGGTCTACTCTTTCATATCATAGCTCTCTTTATAGCTGTTCGTCCTTCATCCATTCGTCTCCCTCCATCGTCTTCGCTCTACCTGTCCCTCCTACTCCCCCCTGCCTTCGCTGCACGTTCGCTTCCCAGTGCTACATCACACATTGCGGCTCTCGGAATCAAAATGGCGGCAGCGGTGGGCGCATCGCAGTCCCTTTGCGTCTCTACACTTCAGCATCAGCAGCAGCACATAGCCTTTCTCCGCTCAGATGCGACTCAGCTGCAGCAGAAGGTGATGGCAGAGGTCTCTAAGTTTGAAGAGCACACACTCCTCCTCAGGGACTTTCTCCTTAACTTTGTAGATGAATTCGCCGACGCTCAACAGCTCCCTCATGGTGAATACAAGTACAGAAATCTACTGGTGAGTTTAGGCAGTACAGCAGACATGTACACGTCGGCGCCTTCTGACAGCGTTCCTGTCCGCATATGCGTGCGTTTGTGCCGCTCTGTCACTTCATGCGTGTCCCTCTTTATGGCGCCTCAGATGTTCGCATATCATGTCCATCTGTGTTGTTCACTGTTGGCTCCTGTCTACGTACCTACAGCAAGAGATAGCGGATCAACGCCGCGACGATTTGCCTGTCCACCTCGAAGATGCCGCCTCTGTGAGCCATACTACACCCCCGTTATGCTTGTCTTCTATCCATCACCCTTCTTAGCTTTTCAGCTTAGTGCGTCTATCTCGTCTTTCTCGAACCCCGTTCCCCCAAAATCCAGTTTTCTGCGCTCCGTTGTTCGCGTTCAGTTCTTCTCTTCTGGCAGCGAGTCCGGCAACAAAGGCAAGGGGGGAAGCCTTGGGGTCTATGACGGCCTCTTGGTGAATACACCGCGTTACCTCGAACTTCTTTTCAAGGCCGCTGACATGTTGCTTAGCCAGACAGACCTCTTCCCCCCCGCAGAGACTGCTGAAAGCAGAGAACTCGGGGTTGAGGCTGTCCTCGATGGTGCACTCAATCCATCGACGGATCTAAATGAAGAGACCGTCATAGCGACAAAGAAGAACGACCCATGGAGAAGGATTAGGTATGACATTGACACAGGAAAGCTTGAGGCGGAAACCGAGAGAGAGAGCACAATCCAGGGTCCTTGTACACATGTTCTCTTTGTAAATCCTTGATCATCCGTCTGTGTGTCTGATCGCCTCTATTTGCTTCAGCCTTTTGTTGCGTAGAGGTGCGTATATATGTATGTTTGTCTCGCGCTGTTACATGCTTGGTTCCTCTTCTTTTTAACGTCTCTTCTATGCATTGTGTTCTGCGTGGAATCACAAAGCCTCCTGCGTGCACATGCGACCCTCGTACTTATCGTCTCCCTTTGAGGACGCGTTGCGTTGGAGGGTGTTGCGCCCATATCTGCCTTCCCTTTCGACTGAAGCTTGTGTGTGTGGATATGCGCCTATTCAAAATATATATCAAATATATATCCTTTCCTTCCCTTTGCTGTGCCTGCATCTTAGGGCCAGAGATATGGCTGCACGCGGCGTCCCTGCTCATCTCCGGCACAGCTTGTATGCCCACCCTTTGAAGGGATCTCACTACCTAACCCCTGGCTCCACCCGATCCTCATTCACTGCCAGATGCGTCTCTCTTCTCTTCCTTCCTTTTCTCATCTTTCTTCCCCTTCTGATTTGGACCAGAAAGCACGACAGTGAATGTTTGTGACCTGTGCTCTAGCCGGATAGCCCTGGTTCCTCCTACGCGTGAAGCTTGCCGGACGTTCCGTTCCGTCGGTGCCTCTTCCATGGGACAGTTTTCCTTCTTTTCCGCGGAAGTCGTTCGCGTAGAGCCACCCAAGCCCAAGCTCGTGGTGGCCGCATACGAGTGCGAAACATGCCATGATAAGGTCTTCCAACCCGTAAGCAAGGGCCTTGTCGTCAGCTGTGGGTCCGGAGCGGGGGCATGAGAGAGGGGAGAGACTGCTCCCACTCGTTCTCGTCTTGTCGTTCCCGTCTCTTGGTGTTCGACTGCCTCCTGATTTCCGCTTGCTTTTACCGGCCCTTAGTCACTCCCCAGCCTTCTAGTTTTATCCCTATCTCTCTCCCCAGGACACTCTCGACGATTCGCGCATCGCCGCGGAGTCCTTTTACGAAATTTTCAGATCGAAGATGCCGCGTTCATGCCTCTCACGAACTGCCCTCAATGCCGCCTGTCAGGCCGGAAGGAAAGTGCTCTTCATTTTCATTCCAAGCTGTCTCTCTTCCTCCCATCCCAGACGATAAAGGTTCAAGAACCGCCCAGCCAGGTCTGATCTGCTCTGATGGCTCATGATGAGCCTTTCGCGTCTTCTGTACGCAGCATGTTGTCTGCCTACTCCGAAGTACCCTTGCTGCCTCCTCTTTCTGCCATCACGTTGCTTCGCTCTATGAACCGCTTCTGTGGTTTTCGACTCGTCCTTTTCTCTTGCTACAGGTCCCTGAAGCGGACGTACCCCGGGCTCTGACGTGCCACTTGATAGGCCACGCGTTTGTCAATAGACTGCAACCAGGTTAGATGCGCTCATTGAAGCTAATACTTTACACAGCGGTGAAGCAATACAGAGCACCAGGTAGATGGGCAGCAAGAGATCAGGGAAAGTGTATTTATGACTATACCGAAAGCCGCTGCCACCCATCTCTCGTCTCACTGTGTTGCTTTCTATGACGAATTATCGCTCAGTGCATATATGACTTGTCTCTCTTCTCCCATCCTCACCATCGGTTTCACGCTGTCTGCATCAGTGTGGAGCTGTGTATTTCTGCAGGCATGCAAGTTACGCTGGGCGGCGTGTTGCTCCCTGTACGCCAGTTCGGCTTTGCAGCACTTCGCGCGGGCTTGATTCAACAGAAAGTCTTCGATGTCTGTCACATGGTTTTGGAGAAGCAGCGGACCGTGGATGACAGGAGAGAGGAGGCGGAGGTCTCTGCTAAGTTGGAGCGCCTCCGCAGCCTCCCTGGTGTATATGAGCTCCTCGCGCGCAGTGTTTCTCCTGGAGTATATGGAATGGAAGACGTAAAGAAGGCGCTGTTGCTGCAGCTTATCGGAGGCGCCCGCAAAGTGAAGGGTGATGGGGGCCTTATACGGGGGGACATCCACGTGTTACTTATGGGAGATCCCGGCCTCGCAAAGTCGCAACTGATGAAGCAAGTGTGCGCCATTGCGCCAAGAGGTATATACACCACAGGGAAGGGTAGCAGCAGCTCCGGGCTAACAGCTGCTGTTCTGAAGGACCCGCAGACCCACGAGACAACTTTGGAAGGAGGCGCGCTCGTGCTCGCGGACAAGGGAATCTGCTGCATTGATGAATTCGACAAGGTCGGTTTCGATAAACGTATGATCCCTCTGGTACACCTCTCATTCCCTGCTTCGGTCCTTCCCATGGACTCGTCACTGTCTGGCAGCCTGCCTGCCCAACGGCTTTGACGCCTCCGAGCCATTGCGCTTTCCACAGATGGATGAATTTGATAGAAGCGCGATTTATGAGGTCATGGAGCAGCAGAGCGTCTCTATCGCCAAGGCCGGACATTGCAGCTGCCTCCCCGCAAGGACAGCAGTCCTCGCGGCCGCAAATCCTAAAGACGGGCGGTAAGATCGGCGCATCACGAAACCCGCTACTACTCCTCCTTCCACTATTTCTACTAAGTTTTTCTTCTTTCTGCGCGTCCTTCTCGCGCTGCGATAGCTTTTGGAGGGGGGAGTTCGGTATCTGGTGCAAATCCCGCATTTTTGTGCTTTTCTCAAGCTGGTAGCGTATCCATTCAGATTTTGAGGTCTGCAGCTTGCGTTCAGATATGATGTGCGCAAGTCGATGATGGCTAACATGAACCTTCCTGCTGCTCTCCTCTCCAGGTGTGCCATCCCGATACTTTCTATTTCTCCTATCGACGCTAGCAGAACTCGTTGTTACCTTGCTCTCCTGCGTTATAGGCTCTCCTCAGCCTTCTATTTCCCCCTCCCTGTCTTGCCCACGACTCGCATTCGCCAATTTTTATGAATTCCGCAGGTTCGACTTGCAATTCCTTTTGTTAGACCGACCGGACCCAGAACAAGACGCTAAAATGGCTTCGCACATTCTGGGCTTCTTCCGATCTACGGGACCTAGCCAGCAAGCAGGGCAGCCTGAGTCTGGGAGAACCAGGGCGTCTACCTCAAAGGGTTGGAGGGGAAGCTCCCGGAGGCAGCAGCAGCAGCAGCAGCAGCCGGAGTTTGTGGATAAGAAGGTGCTGAGGGCCTTTATCGAAAGAGCGAAAGAAATTGAACCAGTATTGTCTGAGTATGTTTTCAGCTGGGTGGGAGGATAGGGATTGTATGGGTGTGGTGCGTTGGCGGTCTGTACTTTTTTTGTGCGCATCGGGAATACACAGTTCGGACGCGCTGATTGCCTTTGCATCTGCGCCGCTTCTGCACTCACTTTGCACACCTTTAAGAGTGAAGGACGAAGTCTTGTAGCGGACGTCTTAGGCTGTCTTGTTGTGTGCTTATGTTCTGGGTTTAGGTCTTTGATTCCTCAGATCAGCGAATGGTACAGCTCCACGCGTTTTGACGAGCAGCAGGAAGAACGGCTTTCGGGGGTTCTGCCCTCATACACCACGCCAAGAGCCCTCCTGGGGCTTCTCAGACTCTCACAGGTACGACGCAAATAGAGGTACACATGTGTACCTACACAGGAGTTCATGATTTCCTATGATGAGTGACAATTTACTTGTGACGTCTTGCAAGTCCCTCTGGCCTTGGCGAGATGCATTTCTGGGTAGGGGAATCTCTTTGTCTTCCAGTTTTGCTATACCTCGATTTGTGTGTATTTGATATAATGCGGGCTTTATCTTTCTCCCCTCTCCCGAAATCTGTGTATGTCAATGGCCGTTCGACTGCCCATTCCCCCACCCGCTACGCGCCTTCTTACTTGCTGCTATTGCGCAGGCGTTGGCACGTCTGCGTCAGTCCTGGGTCGTCGAGACACCCGATTTCGAGGAGGCTTTGCGCCTTTTTGAATCCTCCAAGGCCTCAGTGCGAGTAGCTGAGGAAGCCGCCAAGAAAAAGAGGAAAGACACTGTTTCTCACGTTTTCGAAATTCTTCGGTATGTACAGGTCCCTTACTAGAGGCTTTTGTTGGTACTGCACTTCCTGTGTTTGTCTCCAGCTTCGTGTCCATAGACCTACTCCTCCCCGTCCTTTGCTTCTGCGTGTTCGACTTCTCTCGTTTTTCTGCATGGGCCTTTCCTATGACAGTCTTGTTCTCAACCGTGACGGTATCCACTTTTTCATCCCTCTGCCTTCTTAGGGGATCTTACTTCGAGTCTCAATCCGTGCGCCTCTGTTTCCCCCTTTTTTGTGCTTCAGGCGCACACGCTCACGGATGATCGAGGAGAAGGGGGCTCGCTGGGACGGCTACGTGTCTATCAGTGACTTGGAGGCTCAGGCCACTGCAGTTGGGGTGTCTCCGCAGCAGCTACTACAGGCGCTTGAGCAGTATGAGGAGCTTCTCATTGTTGCCTTTGACTCCGAGAGAACAAAAGTCGCCTTCTTAGAAGAGGCTCGAGGTGGAGAGAGCGAGCAGGAGATGCAGGAAGACAACGCTTAGGCACCCTCATGAAAGGGGTAACCTACACCCTTTGTCACACAAGCACGCACACTTGCGAAACGGACAAGTATTACTCTCTATAGCCCCTAGAATAAGCCGTTCAGCTTTTCAACTCAAAAGCCAGTCGCATGTGTTCCTAGCTAGCTGGACCGCAGTGTGTGTCAGCAGCTTTTGGATTGACGCATGAAATTCAAAAATGCAGCCGCCGCTCTGCAGCTGCGCGCACGCTTATTTTGCAAGACACCCAAAAGCACCCTAACTCGCTCATGCCGCTTCGCAACGCCGCTCTGAAGACACCTCCACAGGCTCCTTAGTTTAGGCGCAGAGAACAACATGCATAGGGATCCCAGACACGGAGGACAGGAGGACCTTTCCTCTGCCTCTGGCATTGGAGGTGTCAATACCCCCTCGAGCAGTTTGTTGACCCGTTTGGCTTCGTGTCCTTTGGGCACAACGATCACACGACTCTCGTAGACGCAAGTTGCTATAATGGGAACGATGTAGACAAGCTTTATGCAAATTTTTAAAAGGGCACTTGAAGCACATGCGCAGTCACGGTGACGCTACTTCCTAAGTTCACCTTGGACCAGCAAGACGTCTAATGTACATGTCGTGCATTGTGGCACTTTAGGTATAAACGGCATGTAATCTAATGATGTTTCCTCGATCCAAGTTTTCTCTTAGGAGGCACTTTACTCTAGACTCAACAGAGACTTGCTGCAGAGCCACGAAGTGTTTTTTGGAAGAGCTTTCGTCTTGCCCTGCCAGCACCCTCCGATTGGCGGCCATGGAAAACCCGGGGGGCAGGGGGTCCCGGGGTACGGCTAGAGTGCGCCTTGCTGCAGGCACTCTGTGTAGCGACCCTACACCGCTAGTTCCACGCACAGAACATTGCCTCTTGTAGTGAGCAAAACAGCGGTCTGCAGGAAATAAGCCAAATCGACTAGTCGATCCTTCTTGATTTCTTTTAAATACTGGATTACTGGAAACTGCCTAAGTGTAAGTAAGCTCTTTAAATAAAATGCACCTACGTTTACATAAGTGCCCAAAGAGAACCCTTCACGCACGATAGGGCTAAGCTCGATCGTAAGCATCAGAGAAGCACACGCAGAGGAGCCTATAAAAAAGAACGACCCGTTAAATACATGTGTAAAAGTGTAGTCAGCTCAAAACTTGCTGTTCAGCTTCGTTTGTGTTCAAAGCCGCAGTTAAACGAGATCGTTAAGGGAGCGAACAAGAGCCTTGGCCATACATATACCAGCATATAGTACCCACACTATATGCTAATACTTTGAAACGATTTCATACACAATTACTAACACTATATACAGCTGTACATTCGCAAAATATACCTACGCAACAAGATATGCACGTAACACGAGAAAGCGAACCGTTCGCGCATTCGTTAGTCCGTGCCACTTTGCTGTATCTGCTGCCACTCCTCTGGTGTATAGCACTTCATAGAGAAGGCGTGAATCTCCTCCAGTGACTTGCCCAAAGCTTTATTGACCAGGCGTTGTCTCTCCAAGGCCTTAAGACCTTCAAAGGCAGATGACACCAGTAGGCAGTTGTAAGCGGCACCACAGCCACATGATTTGTCCTCTAACTGCAAATACACAGGGTTCAGGGCCTCGCGCAGCATGTTCTCAACCTCACTCTGAGTCACGGTAACCATCTTCTGCCTAGGCGGTAGCGTGCAAACAAGTCATTGAAAGAGGAAGGGCCCAGCTAGTAAGTAGTGTAGATATAGGGCACGCCTGGGAAACGCTATTACAGGGAAGTACGGTAAACATATGACACAAGACGTCCAGAGGTTCCTGCGGCGTGGCAGAGTTACGCAGGGAGGAGGAAGGATGGACGAAGCAAGCAAGTTGGATTGCAAGATGTACCAAAAGGCACACGGCCGAAGAGCTAGTGGGGTAAGAAAAATGCGGAGCTCCCTTTGCCCCTGCTGTCGCTTCCACAATTTATGTCAAAGATCCTGCTTCTGGTGCTCCTATTGAAGACAAACTAGTAGTGCTCCTGTTAAGGATGTGCGTGAGACTCCACGATGCTGCTGCAGAAAAGTTGCGGCCTTTTAAACATTTCGCCCCTGCTGCTAGCTTTGTTCGGAATTGGGCTAGGTACGGAACAGTCCGTAGCTAACAAATAGCAAAAATAATATAAAGTGTTATAGGAAGTGCACGGAAGCCATCTGCATTCGTTGGCTGAAGGCGTGCGGGGACTGCTTGCGGGTCGGGTTCCTCGGTCGTGCGGACAGCAACTCAGTAACGAAAATAGAGTGCAAATGTTGGGATTGGGAAATTCGTTCTAATTAGATAGTAATTTATTTATTGCTATCGTGTTTTTAAGAACCGTACTCGGGAGTGTCAATACCTCCAACACAACCTGGCCATTAGTACCCCACCAAATTGGCGAGGGGAATGACCCTATCCATTTTTTGAACCCTAGACAAGTGCACCAGCTGCATGCTGAGCCCTACTCAAAACATATATATAATCCGAATTACAGCTGGCCCATGTCATGAGCACCGGAAGATCACTTGACAGGCAGAAGACCACAAGCAGCCGACCTTGGGTCTTGCACAGGCAACGCTGCACTTCTGAACTTTCTGATGCACTAGATATCGTCAACTAAGAAGTAGTACGAACACGACTAAGTGCTTTGCATCTTTGCATATCATCCTTATTGCAGAGGACTGTTCGCCCTATGTAAGATGCAATGTTGTGCACGTGTAGCTTCCCATCGAAAGTATCATCTAGATATCCAGATTTAGGCTCAATATAGACTTATTAGAGTTGTTGGGTGCTTTCCCAGAAAAGTGTCCACCTTGCCCTTTTCGCAGCCTTCAGAGTTCACGAAATGAAGGCAGTGGCACAGCTAGTTTGCGGGTTGCTCCACTCTTTCTGCCCTCCAACCATACACAGCTAGATATATACAGCCTCTAGTGTACACGCAGACAACATTCTGCCTTCGTTCGTCGAGCTAACAGCTCTTTGGACAAAATAAAATATCCAAAGCGACAAGCCAATACATGACTCTTGCTTAGTTACATGCTACAAGTGCAGTACAAAGTATTTAGTGTAGGTTAGCATACCAGACACTCCCCACCCCCGCCCCCTCCCCAACTTCCCCGGAGTTTATTAAAAGCACGTTCCGTTGCGTTCCTTTCCCGTTCATTTAGGCTAACAGCACGCCGCTAACCAGAAGTTTTGCTCCCAATCGTCACTCCCCAGGAACGCATATACACGAAAACGGTGCATATGCGAAGAGCAGCATGAGAATCGGCCGCTAGACAAAAATCGAGAAGGACCAACTCACACACGCTATCCAACAAGGAGCGAAGAGGCGAAACGAACACAACAGTGGGGGGCGATGGCTCCCTACCGTCGGAGCGCTAAGTTGTGGGGGCCTCATGCCACGAGACAGAAGAAGACAGACAAAATGTAGCTAGCGTCCCATATTACAGTAGTCTATCAATCTCGTTGTGTCTCAAAAGAGAACTTTTTGCATACAAGGATGCACTTGCCAGCTCAGGGTTCGACTCCAGTCCCAGCATATCAACGTGCGTACATAAGAGACCGTGATAAATTCCAGCAACAATTCAAGAGGCTCATGAGAAAAGGTAGCCAAATTAGCCCTATTATGCGCTGTGGAAGCACAGTTTTCCATAAATGCAAGCAATGCGGTCTGTAGCAACTAGTGTTCTGAGGATAACAGAGCCGCAAATTCTCGTAGAAAAACCAAAGTCTACAACTGACTCCGCTCCAAAGATTAACGTTCGTGTTCTTTACCCCATTTCACTGGAAAGCCTTGCCTAGTGCGACATCGACGTCCGACTCCTGGATCCCAGCACTTCTAGGCCGCCCCATTGACCATCGGCTTGCACATAGCTCCAATGCCTGCCGTACAATGAGGGCAAATAATTTGTAAGGGTTTTCAAGCTTCTTTAGGAACCCAATATTGAGCTCTCTGGCATTCTTAATATTTAGGGAGATGGTCAGAGTAGGAAAGAGCTTTTGTGTGAGAGTAGTGCAGATCGCCCTACCAACTGGCCGCACACTCCTTCCGGTTACCTATCAGTGCGCTTTGGGTTTGCGTGCCCATTTATGGAGACCAAATCTCCAGACCAGTAACATAGTCCGTCGACTCTTATCATATTCCGCGCTTGGCTCTCTTAAGCTTTGTGCATTTTTCTGCCTGCATTAGCCAGCTGTTTTCAAAACACTACGCTGCAAATGATGGCTATTCAAACAGAACTGCCAGGTCCAGATTTGGAGCGGAGAGGGCCTTCTCAGTATAGATCAGTAATGGGGGGTCAACGGCTAAGGTTTTGTGATCATGAACTACTAATGCTCCAAAAGGGTAAGTTCATCTGTCTTCTGCCTCAGAGTAGTTTGCAGTGGTCGTATTGTGATCATTTTTTAGGCGGGTTGTAGAGCCAAGCCCGAGCATAGTCACGATCTGCACAAGGCTGTGAGGAATGATAGTTTTGTTAATTCAGTGAGACTGTCAGGGTTGCGCCATGAACAATAAGCGGCTTTCTAGGCCTTTATGCAGCTAAAACATGGAACGATTGGGCAAATCTGCTGACTCGGTCGACTGCGACCTAAATGGCATCCTACCGTTATATCCGCCACTTGAGTTATTAAGTCCAGATTCAGCTTGCTGCTGATTGCTTCAAAAAAAGCAGCATTTTAAACGCCGAACTCACGAGAATTTTTGGGTTTTAGTCTTGACTGTTTAGACTTCCGTGTTCCGGAATATACTGCTTGCCAACAATCTGTTTCCATGCTAGTGTGAGTCGACCTTTGGCCTGAAACAACATTCTCCTGTCCTTTGCGTAAAAGGGCACTGGAAAAGCTGCCAATCTACAATCGATGGAGTCTTCGCTTTCTTTCGCACCGCAGCAGGTCATCCTTCATGTGGCATTGCTCTTCCTTTTGCCATTCTCGCTGTGGCAATAGTAGCATTTGCGTGGGTTTCAAAGCAAAGCGTCATGCAGTTTCGACACAAAACCGTGGATCCCCACCAAAACGAGCGGTTCTGCTCCATAGCAGTGATTTCCTGGCGCGTCGCAAGAGTGCATCCATGCTGGCGAATCCCTGAATATCCTGAGAAGACGTACTGCAGTACGCGCCTGAGCCCGATAACAACTATACGATTATTCGAGTCCTGGAAAATCTTTCCGAGGTATTTGAATACCGATGGCCAGTCTAAACAGTGAAACGAACGCCAAGTAAATACTACGCGCAATTTCCACGCTTCAGATCACATAATTCTCCGATTCTGCAGCGGGTGCCGCTGGTCGGTTTTGCTAAATCGATGGTAAGAAAATACATCAACTTTTTTTTCTTGAAGAGCCCGTGACCCATTGACATTAAATCGCACCCACCGCCATGTCACTACCACCGTTTAAAAGGAAAGCGTAAGGCTCACAATTGGCCAGCACATATAGCGCAAGAGTGGTAGAGCGCCGAATATGCGTCGTTGGCGCCTCACCAGCCTCCTCTGTCTATGTCATATAGTGCACCATCCTAAGCTTCTTACTACGTAGAACACCAGTGCTAGCAAATCCATACATGAACGGTCACAAAGCAAATGCGAACCCATCGATTTTTTCCACCCTCTTGGAGGGTGCACAATGGGAAAGGCCATGCCTTGATGTCTTGAGAATTTTTTGCTGGATGTAGCCCCATTCCTGCAGCCGAAGCACGGACTCACGCTGAGCACAATTCTCCATGTAAAACGAGTTTCTGCATGCTTTTACATACCAGGCCTGTCTTGCAGCTGCCGAAGCGCCCGTCATTGGTGGTGTTGATGCTTTCGAATGTTTCGGCTGAATACGCAGGCGTCATCCATGTAAAGAGCCATTCCCCCATCTTTGAAATGCGCAGAAATTAAAATTTAAGCGTGCTTTTGCAGTTGATTATAATCATTGACACATTTAAATCCGTTCAGGTATATTCGAGTTTTCGAGTGCCAAAGCAACTCGGTTTTGTGCCTTTTCTAAGTGATAAGGATTGGCAAGAGAAACCTCTGTAAAAAGAGGTGTCTAGTAGGTTGTCAACGTTTACACTAGTTTAATTAATCCACCTTTGTGAGGCAACGGCAACATCGGCTTCATAGCGATCTCCAGGGTCTTACGGTTCCTGCATATGCACCCCCTACCGTCCGTAGTCGGCACTGGCATCCGGTTGCGCCTGAAGGTACTACACTTTGCCTGATCAACAAGTCACCTCTATGCAGCCCTATCTTCTTCATGTGCATGACAAGCACTCTGTGGGGCTGACTTAGGGACTACGTCGATGTAAGGAGCTGGACAGCCAACACGTGCCTAGCTTGCTGGCAACGTATTATTGTTTAGCACACCGCCGAACCTCCTTTTGATAGTTTCTTATTGGTAGTATTCATATGGTGAATGCTCAATAGAATCTTCTCATCAACAACTATACGCATATCCGTAAAGTGAGACTGCACGCTCATTATTGCTTACTTTAACTGTGCTGCTGAGCCATCCGCAGGAGCACTCTGTCGCACCTTATTAAAGGCCTATATTCGACCCCACTAGCTCTAGCCGAAATGCGTGTTGTTAAGAAGTCCTGGCGTTGCTCCTTCCTGGCATTTTTTCGGCACACTAACCTGACACAGTTGGCAGCTGTGGAACCATGCGCGCTTTCTATTTCTTCATGCATAGCATACCTAGTATTACATCATTGTGCGCCAGCCCAAAATCAAAGTCATGTATCATGCTGGTATTATCCATTCCCATTTCAGGAAGCTTTTAGGCGCAAGGGCCTTGCCAATAGCTGCATTCTGCCGGGCAGCAGTACCTTGAGTTTTATGGACCGCGCTAACGAATGAAAATGCAGATCGCCCATATTCCGTTTCCTAGAAAAACTTTTGCGTTTTTTATCCAATGACAAATCAAGCTAGCAATTCAGGAGTATTAGTGTGTACATCGATCAGCGAGTAGGTGACCTATGATGCCTGGTTAAGCGCCAATCTACACTTTGCCGCTTCGTTCATTGCTTCGTACACTGCCTAATGAGCATGCTTGTTCTCTGGTGTCCTCAATCCTAGTGCTGCACTCAAATGTACACCTCGCTCGCTAGAATTCGTGTGCACAGTCCCTATTGCATGCCTTGGGTCATGCAAATATGTTCCCATAAGGGCTCGCCACTAGAGCGCATGGAATGAACACAAAACGTAGAGTGTCGTTTTCTTATGCTAGATCTGTCATGAGGATTTGATACTTCAAAACCTTTTCGAAAACTACAAGTGTCCCTGCGGCGAAAGACCTGCGAACCTAGCTAATACGACCACCAGCATTTTATCAAAATGTTTTATGGAGACCCAAAGGAAATAGTGGTAATTGATGGTGCGTTACTTATTGAGGATGTAAGGTGCGGCATCGAGCAGTTTCAGTGTTGTTAGCAGTAAGCCCAAGAACACAGTGCAAGACACCACAGTGCTGTTTGAGCGTGACGCACTTCCTTGCCTTTGTATCATACGATTGGGCGCATGGACAGCTCACAACGACCCTCCATATTTTCCCACCTCAATTTTTGACTCCCTGAACTGCCTGTCTTTCTTGTCGAGGTCATCATTCGAGACGGATTTAGGAAGAAAAAGTGTACTAAAAGTTGTCATCGATTGTTTTCGCGACATTGTAAATACTAGTGCGAAGGGAGCTTCAGCTAAAAGGACCCTCGCAAAACATGGAGTTGGATAGAGAAGCTTGTTCCCGTGAACGATTTCGCAACGGCTACATTAAGAAAGCTCCAGTCTATCGCCTCCTTAGCTTAGTGGTAGAGCGTCAGTCTTGTAAACTGAAGGTCGTGGGTTCGATTCCCATAGGTGGCTTTTCCTTTTTCGCTGTTGTTTTTTTTCACGTACATGAGATTGTATATATGTACTTTACGAATTTCGCTTATGAACTGCTAATTAATGAGTGAGCTGCATGGGTATCCCATGTGCTGTCTCTTACCCGAACTACGTGCGGGTGGATCCGTTTTACCACTGTGCCTGACTATTGCTCAGGCGCTGAGTGATTGGTTTCACCATTCTTGCTTTTTTTGGAAAGTATTGCTCTAGTCGTATTGAGGTGTACCGAATTACTGTTACGGCTGTCTGGCTTCACTGTTTGCGCGCAAGGCCCCCCTTGTGCTATTAGGACATTCAGAGCCAGCCGTGTCGAGCAAAGGCTTCTAGCCATTAATCTCAATCTTTTTTCCAACACCGGAGTCTCTGAATGCTTCGGACTTGGTGAAAGCTAGGCGCTTTTCCCCCCTCCATGTGCAAATAGGCTACTTCTTGCCGCATGGAAGAATAGGGTGGGCTGTCACTGGGAGACTCAAGGTGTAGGCAGCATTCAAGCGTGCTTGAGCGAGGACATGGTTATTGTTATTTGTTTGGTGCTTCATTGACAGGTTGATACGCCCACACTGCTGTTATGATGGACGCTGAGGGCACCGTGGGGACCCCAGTGGGTCCCCACTCACAACGCACAACAGAACACTATTTGGCAAACGGCTCTAATGGGGAGGGCCTGGGGACTCATAGACTTCCTCACACAGTGGAGTATACTGAAGAAGGCGTGGTGGAAATGGTTCGTTGCCTTAACTCGTCGGATGCCTGTCCCCAAGGGGCTCCAACAAAACCCACCGCAGATGAATACCTCACAGAGTTTCAGCGACACCCCAGTGCGTGGAGTATTTGCATTTCAATCCTCAACAAGCACGCAGCACTCCAGAAGCCTCACTATGGATCAGCAGTCCAGAGCGCTCCTACCGAGCTTCTCCACTTTGCAGCTCAGACTCTTGCAGCGCAGGCTCGCGCTGGCTTTCCCCAGCAGCTCTCAGCACTGTTGGGCAATCAGAGGGCAGCGGGAGGTTCTATGGTGGTCTCTGATGACTCTGCGGTGGCCGCGTCCCGGGTCTATGCAGAGCTACGTGACGGATTGTTACAACTTGTCTTCGCTTTTCGAGATGCTCCCAGACCAGTACTCCGTCAGCTTTGCATAGCGTTATCCTCTGCCATACATTTTGGTGCGGTCGGAGGCGATGGGTCTACAGGGTCCGGGGGACCTTACTTGGAACCTGTGCTGGAGTCGCTCGGCCGTCAGGCTGGGACGGAAGGCTTCTTGCCTTTGCTCGAGCTGCTGACTTTGATTCCCGAGGAGCTTTGCACGAAAAGGTAATCTATAGAGTTGGCTCCGTTGCCAGTTTAATTGGCACGGCTTCCTTTCACCGCGCCACAAACGGCAAACAAGGTATGAGACTGTTTTTGTGCCCCTAGGAATGCACTACCTGAGGACCAACGCGTACCATGTCTCGCGCGTTGCATCTGCAACAACACCGTGGACGTGCTGAAGGCTGTTGAGTCTATGTTTTTGCAAGCAAAGGCAGCCCATGATAAAGCAGCACCTCAGGAGAGGCCCCACTGGCTGTCCATCCTTCATGCCGGTGAATCCGCTGTACTTCCATTTTCGTCCATTTCTCCCGTAGTTTGCCGATCATGCGATATGGGCTATTGGAATAACGATCTAACAACCTAGTTTGGATACTGTACACACGAGCATTAGGCTATTGGAATAACGATCTAACAACCTAGTTTGGATACTGTACACACGAGCATTAGGAGGAGCACTATTCCGAAAGATAGGGCGCTTAGAATGATAAGATCTTTTGATGTGCACAAGCTTGTGTGGAGGAGTGACCGCGTATGTGTAAATGGTGTTCGTTATGTCCCTTCAGCGGTGAAGACTCTGCAGTCTTGGCTGGCTGCTATTTGCTGCTGGATGCAGCTGCTGGAAGGGGAGCAAGGGCCGGCGCACGGTGCACGAGGGATGGAAGACGCATTGGAAGTCTTGTCTCTCGCGCTGCACCATGTGGCAGAGGGCCAGATGTTTGGCGTTGTGCTTCGGGGAGTGACCTCTGAGGGCTTGGACACTCTGCAACTCTCCTCAGAATGCGTCGTGTCGGTTACCGCTGCAGCATCGCTGCTGGAGGACACAACAAAGGGCAGCAAGGTAGACTGTCCGCAGAATATCATGGGGCTCAGCCAAGTAAATGGCAGCAGTGGCTCCACTCTGCCGGGGGACGACCGCAAGGATGAGGGGTCTGTAAGCCCAGCGCTCATTAGCTCTATCGTTAAAGCCTACGGAGATGGCTGCAATACCGCTTTGGCTGCAGCAAAAGCGGTAAGACGACTCTCCTATATTAGCTTCCTATATTACAAGGTTATATGTGGTCCAGATTCCGTAGGAAAAACTCTGTGTGCTGTATGGCACCCTGCAGAGGCGTTGGGCCTCGAACTGATTCTTCAGCGGGCTGTTGGTGTGCTGCGCTACAGCAACCGAGAGGCATTGCTGCTTTCGACGCTGAAAGGCTACAGCTCTTTGCTCAGGGCCTCCTTGAGCTTGCAAAGACACAGATCCCTCGCTTGTTAGTCAGCATAGCCGAGGGGGAGGCATGGCTGGAGGACGGCGGTTCTGCGGGTAGGCCTGCTACTCACACTGCAGAAACAAGGTTTCTGCAGCCCTATATCGAGAGTATCTGTGAGCTCTCAAGAGCTCTGCTTCACCACCCCTCATACGAAGTGAAGGAGGTCGCTGTCGCATTTTTCCGGAATCTCCTGAATGACATTATGGGGCTCATGGAGGAGGAGAGGCGGCTAGCATCCTGGCGAGACCATCTTCGTGATGAAGCAGCAGCAGCAGCTGCGGGGTCGGCAGACACGACCGCAAATGCACGAAATATAGAAGAGTCGCTGAGTGATATTGAATGCCGATACACGCGAATTATGGACGCTTTGGCCTTCCGCGAGCCCGTGTTGTCACGCCTTTTCCGTCCGCTGACTGAAGCAGCGGTGCAGGAGCTGAAGCCCCCCCTGCTGGCTCTCATGCGTGAAGAAATTGAGTACGATACCTGGCAAAGCTTCAGGACAGAACTTGCTACCACCGTGACGGAAGCCGCTGTACTCCTAGACTTGGAGCGTGCGTGCAATGCCGCAGCGGCTCAGCTCATCAGCCTTCTGAAGGACCCTCAGGAAAGTTACATCTCCCACCGCATCGCGCCTCTTCTCGCAGTTTCCTCCAGACTTCTTTGTGCTTGCACGTGCCCACCAGGCAAACGTAGTTCTCTGTAGCCTTTGCTGTTTTTGCCGCAGGTGGGTACCCTGGATTCGTGGCTAGAGATTGAGGCCCGGCTCTTCTTTGTCACAACAATTGCGAACCGGATCCATCTCTCCATCACAGACTCTACTGAGAGAGACTCGAAAGGGGTATTCGAAACCGGGACTGCGTACACAGACCCGGAGCGAAACTCCTTTGTGTTACAGCTGTTCCAAGGCCTGCCGCAGCTGCGCTTCCCGGCGGAACCCCGGCAGAGCTCTGCTGTCTACACGCAAGCCACCGACAATGAGGTGGCGTCTCTCTTCCTACATGCAGCTGTAGCTCGGGCAACCGCTTGGTTAGCCGCAAGCGTCGTTCCTCAACACCAGGAGATGTTTGCGCCGCTTTTCTCCCTTCTGGTCTCGCGCTCCTTGCAGTTCGTGGCATCCTTGCCGGTGCGTCTCGTGCCCTGTAACGCGCGCTCTCCGCTTTAGCTACTTCAATACACTTCCTCGCAAGTCTTGTTTGGCAGCTGTGGTCAAAAAACAAGAGAAAGATCTTGCGCAGGTGAAAGAGAAGGGGTTTATTTGCACCTGCACCGCAGTGTGGTCCAAGTGGACAGGGTGCAGCAGCGCGGTGTGGAGGGGCCCTTGGGCCACACAGATTCAGCACACTCCGGGGGCCTCTATGAGAAATGCAAGAGTAGTCGATGGTCCCTGCATAGGTCGTCTGGCTACTAGCGTTGCTCCTTTGTGCACCGTTTATTGTCTACCTTGCCTTTATGGACCTCCACTGCACATCCTGTTGCGTCGGCGCTTTTCTCTTGTCCTGTAGGATGCGCCGAAGGATTCGAATGTGCATCTGTTGAGAAACGCCACAGAGGCGCTTCTCGTTGAGGGTGTATCTTCGCTTGTAGCGGCTGCTTCTGCCTTCATTCCCTCTCCTGGAAGGGAAGAAGACGTACACGCGCTACTAAACGCGCTCATCGGGGCCTTCTCCAGGCAAGCGATTAAGGATTCCACTATGAACTCCTGCCATTCGTCAAGTGTCCGCTTAGCTAGCGGCCAAGGGCAAAGCACAGACATATATGGGTTTCCACACGTTTTTAAGGCGCCACTCAGCTATTGTGGGCAGGGGAGGCGGTGGAGGACGTAGCTGTTTTCCCGGGTAGCGATTTTTCGTTTTGGAAGATGAGTTTTTTCGAGCACTATCGTCTAGGTCTAGGGCATGAGCGGCAGAAGCCCACTAGAAAGCAGACGGGCAGTCGTAACTGGTCGCTCACCACATTGCGAAGACTTTTATTCTTGAGAAGTTGGTGCCTTGTGTTGTGGAGTAGGCCTGGCCTGAGCCTTGAAAACAGTTCATCTCTGGTTATGACGGCTGGCTATGTTATTTCTTGCCTCGACGCACCTTGCATCCGCGATCTTTTCCCAAGACTTTTGCAGGTTAGTCTTGAGAACGGCTCCATGTAGTCGCGTGCACTGGCGTGCAGGCTGCCTCAAGGATTTGGCGCTAGTGATTCCAGACAGCAGGATGCCATACAATGATCCCTCTTTTGCGTTTGCAGTCTCTGGGTGAGGAGCTTGAGAGGTCTTTGGCGGATCCACGGTGCGCCACCGCAACACTTAAGAGAAACCTGGCGTTGTTTTTCTCGGCACTACAATCAGTCCAGCCAGCGCAAGATTACTGCCCTCCGCCTCCGTGCCAGTCCTTTGAGGCGCTCAGCCGTAAGTTGTGAAAGGAACTAGAGACAGACAAGTGCGGGATACCGGTTCTAGAAACCGCCTTTACATTCCGCTGAGGGCGTTGCCCGAGTGCCGGTGGCTGCAGCTGCTGCATTGGCTGCCTCATATCCGGGTGTAGAGAGGGGCATAGCAATTGGGCAGGCGCAGAATTCACGAAAATGAAATGGGAGGATCAGGAGAAAGGGGTATGTGGCAGGGCAGTGTTTGCAGTATTATCACTGGCCACACAGGATATAGTCTGTTACAGAGTCACCAGCGAATTGGGGAAATACTGATGCTTTTGTGGCATCCCGCAGCGCGCAGCCCCTACCGACATCCTGTCCTGGATGCAGTGGAAGGGAGCTGGCCCACTGTAGAAAAGGCCATGACACAGATTCAACGGAGCGAGTTTCTCTACGACGTTACCTGCTATGGCCTTGTTGCCCTCTGTGCACAATGCCGCTCCCACGTTCCACGCTATCGGTATGTGTCACTACGTCTTTACTGCCCCCTTTCACCGTCATAGAGCTTTTGCAGCTCTCTTGCTCGCGACAACCTCTGCAAGGTGTTCATGTGTGCTTACTGCTCTCCACCCTCTTGCAATGGCTTCCGCCGTCGCTCTTGACGCAGGCGCCGTCGGCCCTCTTTTGCCTCAATTGTTGCTATTTGGGAGCTATCTCTCCTGTTGGGCGCCTCCCCCAGGCCGGTGCACAAAAACCTACATGTTGGCGTTACCCATGGCTGGGTGGTTTGTGTTCCTGTCACAGGTTGTTTTACTCCTTCTTGCAGCTCCTGTCTTCCACTTTTGCCGAGTCGCCAACAGTGTACCACCTGGGGGCCCTGCGCTCCCTGCAAGGGATCTTCTCAAACTCCCAGGAGGCTTGTGTCAGGCGAGCCGTTGCTACAGCCCTGGAAGGCTGCGTCGGTACAATATTACAAAAGATCAAGGTGGGGGTTGTGTCCAATTGGGCACACAAGGCTAACAGACGCGATGAAACCAACTGTCCAGTCAGCGTCCTCGCTTATCCAATTTTACTCTGAGAGAGAGAATTTAGCCTCTTCATGGATTTGTGGCATAGGGCAGTATAAGGAGTTCTGCCAGTGTCTCCAGTGAAACCATGCACTTAGCTATGCCTCTGTGTGTCTCTCGACTTTCTCTCGTGGAGTCGTGTCGAAGGTTCTCCTGCCTACTGCGCGCTTCGCCGCATCGCTGTTCTGCATTTGGACCGAATGCCGGCCTAGCCATTGCCACTACCAAATGCAGTTCGAGACTTCGATTAAAAATTCAGCAGCCATGCGAGTTTACGAACTGCTCTACGATGGATTTGCTTGCTGAAGCCGATAATTTGCCGATTCTTGTCCGTGCGGCGACGTGCAGGTAGAGGGCGAGAAGTACATTTACAGCCAGCCGGACCTCGTTGGCATCTCTACTGATTGCGTGAACGTTGCTCTCCTTCACCCTCTTAGTGCTCAAGCTATCGTTGGCTCAGCATGGTTCAAAGATCTCACCACTCTGGTGATCCGGTGCACCCCGACCTGCAACCACCCCAAGGTCTGTATGATAGCTTCCAGCCGGCCGAAATGTATAAGCTCGAGATGCACCTCTACCATCACGCAAATAGGCGTTCCCTCATGCCATAGCGATATGATACCCCCGTGTGACGCAGCTGTATTTGCAGGTCTTGCATACCTACATGGTCTTCCTCTCTCGTATCGCGGCTTGGACAGAACCCCCCGCGATTGTCCATTCCTTCCAAGTTGGTGAGTGAAGCTTCGACAGGACTCCAGAACATTTGCACCATCTGGATGTTTATGTCCGTAAGCGTGTATACTTAAGTACGCACTTGTCTTTGAGCTGAAAAGAAATATTGCCAAGAGTTGCAGTAGGCACACCCTGCACAAGCGCTGATGTCATACTGTTCAGGAGGGCCGATTCCTTGGCTCGAGGAGGCATCGCAAGAGACTTCTGCAGTCATTATGTCCCTTTTGAGCCTCCCCTTCCCTCCACCCTGTCCTTCGAAAGGGGGAGGGAAGCAGCCACCCAGCAGCTTCTTGGCTGAGACCATAGCCGCAGTGATACTGGCCCTCACCAGTGTACACGCTGCGCCGCAATCTTGGATTGGCAGCGCCGCTCAAACTATTCTTCCTCTGCTTCGACATTCCATCCTCGAGGTTGCGACCAAAAAGGCGATTGAAACTGCACTCCAGGTAGGCTTGAAAGAAGCTTTCACGTGAGGTCAATTCCACGGGTGCGATGGTTCATTGCAGGCGTGTTATAGTATGGCTGTTGCTTGCAATCCGGGTATCGCCAGAGCTGCAAAAGCCATGGATCTAACGCTACACATAAACACACACATGCACAGATACGCACACTCATATATAAACAGGCACACACACACCACATGTCTGGATGCAGTCCTCTGGAGTTCAATGTTCCAGCTGTGGAGGTTCGTAGAAAAGGCTGCCCCTGCAGACCATTGATCCTCTAACACTGGAGCGTATGGGCGAGCAAACAAAAGCGACATGGGCTGCGTAATGTCTAGTTAAGGACATCGGTACAATGTCGCTATTCCTCGGGTTGAGTCTACTGTAGTAGCCAACCTGTTATATCTCGGCTTCTTCATGATTGCAGGCTCTCGATGTTCACATCATGGACGAGCATCAAAAACGGGAGTTTTGCTGGAGGTGCACTGGTCAGCTGTCGATGAGGGAAATGTGCGCTCTGCTGCAGCAGACAGCAGACGATACAAAGGCTTCGTATGTAAGGAACAAGTTTGCACTTGGAGGTCCCTCTAGGCCAGCGCAATATCAAGGCGCTGCTGCCGCGCATTGAGGGCCTGAATCTAGGCAGTTTCTGTCTTCCAGAAATTTATCTGGCAACATTTGCAGCAGGGTCAGTCGCAGTGCCAGCCGCGGCTTGCCCTTTGAAAAGCAGCACCTCTCTCTTCCCTGTGTGTCATCTAATAGGCTTTTGCCATGTGATAATTTGGCTGCAACCACTACACAGAGCCTGTGTGTTTGCTCCAAATGGGTAAATATACACATCATGATGTTTTTGCTTAGGGTAGTGGTGCCTGTAGTACCGCTACAATTCAGAAGCCCCAGCGTTTGCAGGTGAAAGCAGCTGCATTGCAGTGCGATGCTCCAGTGCTGAAAGGGCCAGCGTATTTACAGATGTGCTGCGTCTAATGTGAATCCCTCTTCACAGCATGCCGTATGACGTAGAATCGCCATCTGCAGCTTCTCTAGCATATTGCTGAAGGTTGTTACTAGGGTGCAGCAAGCTAGTACACCTGGCCAAAACAACTGCAAGCGCGTGGACAACTATTTCTACAAAATTCCTAGCACTGCAGGACAAACAGAGATTAAACCCCCGCCTGCTGATTTAGGTAGGCATACATGATTAAAGATCTCCTGCCAGCTCGGGCAGCGCCCCAAGTGTGAACGGAAAATTATATCAGGAGCACTACTGCTGCTGCATGGGATATTTGTGCTGCTGTTGAGCCGTGGGGTTTGGGGCCACGCCCGTCACGCCAGCGGCTGCTGCATTGGCTTGAGTGCTTGCTAGGTACTGCTGCTGATAGTGATGCATATACAGCTGCGGCATTAGCGCCGCGGTAAGCTGTTGCATATAGGGTGTCGTTGCAGCAGCAGTGGCAGATGGCAGAGCAGCAGCCGCAGCAGCGGCTGCAGCTGCGGCGGTGTTTAGTGCTGCTTGCGTGCCGTAGGGACTCGCAACCTCAGGGCGACCTGCTACCCCCGCTGTTGACGAGGCCAATGGCCACTGTGGAACAGCTGCCTGCTGCAACAGATGCTGCTGTAGCTGCTGCTGGTACTGGGCGGTTCCCCCCAAGGGCATCTGTTGCAAATGCTGCGGCGGGAGGATGCCTGCCCCATGTTGCTGTTGCTTCCTCGATTCTGAGGCGACAGAAACGAATGTTACTTGGCCTGCGCAGTGGAACCCAACGAAAACAACCACGCGGGGGAAATTCTACAAAGACATGTCCCACAAGCTGAACGGGACGCGCTGTCTAGGCGGCAGTCGCCCCAACTCTTGAACCCTGGGGGAGCGGCAGCCCCAACACAGCGACGAAACAGCAAAACAAACAGGACTGGCAGTGTAAATCTATTCATCTGGAATTTCAAATAGGCCTATTATGCCTGCGCACCATCAATGACCCGCTGTGCTTGATTGGCCGCCTTCATAAGGGCCTCAGGGTCTTCGAAAACCACAAATCCGTAACCCTTAGATGACCCATCTCTGTTTCTGATGATAGCCGCCTCTCGCACTGTCCCGAAACCCTCAAATTCCTGTTTCAGCCGCCGCTCGTCGCAGGTGTCAGGGACGTTTCGCACGAAAAGCCGGCACCCCTGGGTCGGACCCAAGAAGGCACCTGAGGCGGAAGCAAAAGCAGCAAAGTAGAACCGGGCTTCCACCGCGGCTCGTGTACATGGCACGATCGAGAACGCCGCAGACGAAGCGTATTCGGCGTAAAAAATAGGCACTTAGCGGCTTTCGGAAAGGCAAAGGCCGCTTTGGGGTAAAGATGGCAACAGACGGCTCGGGAGGAGAGGCTCACGCTTCATGGCTGCCCCTTGGTCTTGCTGAGAGGCCAGCTTGATACTGAGGGGTCTCGAGTCGACTGTCACCTCAGACTGAAGCACGCGTGCGACGTCTTCCATCAACTTGTATGTAACAAAGGCAAAACCCTTATTCATCCCTGAATACAGATAAAAGTGCATCTCTAAGGAAATGGTAGAAGGAAGTATCAGCGCTCGTAGCAAGAACAGAAGTAGGCCACAGAAAACGAATCACTGACAGAGCAAGGATCAATAATTGACAGAAAACAATACACACACACAGCAAACACCTAGATAACAAAGAGCAACGGTAACGCTAGCAGCAGCACTAACATCATCATCAGCAGCACCTGTGTTCCTATCGATGACGAGCTTGAAGTCCTCTATGGCTCCATGTGCCTCCAGAGTTTGCCTCAGAGCGGCCTCGGTGGTGGTGTAGGGCACGTTGCGCACCATTAGCCGCCTGCTGCTCGGATCGGCTTCAATCATAGCGTACAGCGCATTCTCAACAGCTGCGTCAAATCCATAGGTGCACAAAAAATGGCGGTGTGTTGACAGGAGCAACTAAAACCGTATAAGAGCAATAGGCGCATGTCGCAAATGACTTGAAACGTCCGTTCGTCGTATACACAGATTTTACTGCTGCATACGCGGAGAAGTCTACAGCTACACACTCGACAGCATGCAAGGTGTGCACGCACAAATACCTTCAATGGTCTGCATCGGCTGTTGCAGCTCACTGAAGTCTAATGGGAAAAATGCAAACAATGCCATCAGCTAGTGGCTGTGTCGACTCGCAATATGGCGGAGACGCACAGCTACCAACTCAAGCTGCCGGTCGTCGCCAACGCAATGCATGCACTGCATGTAAAAGGTATGTATCTGCTACAAAAAATAGCTATTATCACCTAATAAATGAATACCTTGAAAGCACGCATCTAAAGACGTACATCTAGACACATATACTCAGGAGCACATCGACTGACTGCACGAGCTGGAAGTGATGGACACCCAGACGCGATAGCGGCTGAAGAGAGCCCAAGTGGGACATATACTGCAAAAGAATTTTATCTTGATTGTGAAATGTGAAGCCTATGAAGTAAAAGCCTTTGGGGATATAAAGACAGATGCGTGTATACAAAGAGTTCGCACGCTTCCAGGCTGTACTAAAAATGAATCGTCCACTACGACCACACAAACAGGAGAACTAGAACTGCCCCGCCTGTATCTTTGCCGCATATTCATTTACCCGGATAGTGAGAGCAGGCCCTGGCCAGCAGCATTTTTAGTTGCTCCTTGGTCAAAGAGTCAGTAGCTCTCTTCAGCCGCTCGGCTGTGGCCTCGTCGAGCTGCGGTAGCTCCTCCGCAGCCTTACGCTTCCTGCAAGGAAGAATCCCGCTGGAGAGGTCCTCAGCAATACCCCCCTGTGAGCTGCTGCTGCTAGTGCCGCTGCCGATGACGGCTTTCTCATCTCCACCGGCGCCTAGACCCCAGTGCTGCTGCTGATCATGCTGCGTGGCAGCAGGGACCGCTTCAGATGCCCCCACGACGGCGTATGCACCTTCATTGGCTGCCATGGTTCATAGCCTCTCCTCTTAGCTGCAGTGCAAGCTAGGTGAGCCTCAAAGACAAGCCAAGTCCTACGTCCAACTCCGACCAGGGGAGTATCCTTCGATGTAGCAACAGAAGGCCAACCAGCAGAAGTTGCAAGTGACGGAAAGCAGCAGCAGAACCTTGGAAATGGGCTCCAGAATAATACACCCCAACAGCAGCACAGCTGAAAACGGCGGAAGTCGAACCGCAGGACGTAGTCGCACAGCAGCAACAGTAGCTGACGCAGCGACAGTTGAAGGGGCTGAGGCAGTGGTATGCGTCTTAAGGTATACAGACTGCTGCAACGCGACGCTGCCAGTTGAGGTATGCTTCGAATACAGCAGCAGCAGCAACTACAGCACCTAAAGACGAGACCCGCAGCCAAAAACAGCGCAACGCTTAAAAGGCCCCAATTTGATCTCTCGCTGTACTCTGCGCGTGGGACAGAATTTTTTGCTCTGTCAAGATCGGGCAGACTTCAGCGCCAACAAAACAAACAGCCAAAACAACGGAACAGCTGCAGCGGCCAACGCAGATAGCACCCCTGTGGCCCATTGGAGAGCTGAAGCAGAGTGGGGGTAAACTGAAAGGCGCCAGAGCCGTGTTCAGCGGGCCCAGTTCTGCATACTCAACTAATTAGAGTATGAACAATTTTTAAAATAACAAAATCGCAAGAACAAGCTGCAAAGAGAAGCAATTGTGTTCGCACACTGATCTACACGCTTTGCGGGGCTGGAGCCTGTAGAAAGCCCCATCTTGCACGCATGCATTTTGCGCTGGCGATATGAAACAGACTCCGAAATTCATTTCATTATATTCTTTGGTCTTCCAGGATGCCATATATCCTTCTACTCTCACTGCTAATGGATTAATTATATGGGCTGAGGATAACTTCGCGTGTACTTCCGCCGGACACTGGTCCGAATCGTCTAGAGGTTAGGACAACACGTTGTGGCCGTGTAAACCCAGGTTCGATTCCTGGTTCGGACAAGTTTTCCACTCGTCGGCTAGACACTGATGGTAGCATTAATTCGAGAGGCTTTTAGAAACCCCTTTTGCCAACCTACCGTATCGTTCCTGCGACTCGAGGCTCTGGAACTGTGCCGCGTTTTAATTGACAACTTCCTAGTTAGAATACTCTGTGATTCGGTAAGCGAATGATTGTGTACGTTTTCTTTTACTATATTTGTTGGAGCTAGCTTTTATCTATGTGTATGAAGAAGCCATGAAGGGTGCGTGTGCACTGAATGCGATGTGCAATTAGCTACATGCCCTCGGAGTGCTTAGAGTGCAAGTGCGCGCATCCTAGCTAGCCCATTCCCCCGAAACTCTGAGGAGCATAGGCAAGGCAAGCCAAAGGTTTCCTTTTAAAACCGTCAATAACGTTCCGTTAGGT